AGGTGCTTTACGTCCTAGGCCGATGAAAAATTATATTTATTTATATAAACAGCCTTAATGCACCTAAATATGTACTTAATGTACATTTAAGTTACCAAGATAATAAGTAACGTCTTAGACAATAATTGTTATAAATAAAAAGTTTCACATTCTAAAAACTGCGTCGTACAGCATTCCAAAGAGAAACAATTAAGTTAATGAATATTTCTTTTTTTTTTACTAACAAAACTGCAATTCCATTGGTTACATAATTCATTGTTTGCAGTATGCTAACATTTGAATAATATTAGTTTTTAAAAAATTTAAATAATACGCATTAATCATGATCTATAATCATAACTTAGTGGAAACGCTAGGGCAACATAACAAAACTCAATGATTATTCCTTATAAAACAAAAGACGTTTTGAAACCATTCCATGATGTTTTTAAGTGCATACACGTTTTTGAAACATTCCACTATTCCTATTTTATTACTATTTTACACCTTCTCACATAAAAATGGCGGCTTAATATGGTTAATTACATAGTGATAAAGCATGAACTGGTTATTGTTGCGTATATTGCTATCGTGTTTAATACATTTTCAATTAAATACATCGTAGTATTTGTTTTTTTTTTTACAATAAGAGCTTATAACGTTTTGATAAAGTCATTTGTTATAATGATTTATTTATACAAAAAGGAAAGCTTAAAAAACAGATTATTTTGTACTGCTTATTTTATGTGAATTTTATGTTGTCTTTAGAATTTATTATTTCATAGCACAGTGCAATATAAAATTATATACTGTGATTAAAGTTAAACATGTATATCGGTTGATAAAATACAAAATTTGCTCTGTTCCGCTTTTGTTACTTATTACGACGGTCAAAATTTTTTTTTGTATAATAAATCAACACTTTGATTTATATGTGAGCTATTGCATACCTTGTATAAAATAATACATATTTCACACATGGAAATACCGGTTTACTATACGAGCACGATGGAAAGAGGACTGTCAAACTAATTTTTCTAACTTCTACTGCATCGTTTTACAAAAATATTTTTAAAAATATTACTTTTTTGATTTACATAATTGTGATCTAATATTAGTTATATTTAAATAATATTAAAATGGCGACTTCGTTATGGTAGTGCTATGAAAATTGTACATGAGAGAGTAATGTGGTCGCTAAACCCAGTCTTATTATTATCCTGCGCGTATAGTACACACTCGGGAAGGTATTATGCAATATATACTGAACAATGTTATATTCAAGGCGGTTTCAGTCAAACGACACTCAGTCGACGACGTCGAAATGTCGTTGCAACGTTGCTGACAACTGTCAGCCACTGCCACCGCAATGCTCGCGTAAACTTTTATAATAGGGAACTACGTATAATCAAGAATAAATACTATATGGAGTTTTTAAAGTAAAATGAGTATATAAAGCCCGTATTTTACAGCATTACTTTTCATCATTAATACATAAAAAATCTTTTGCAATACATACGTCTCCTTTTCTTCTTATTGGAAGACAACGGATTAAAAGCAGAATCAAAAATACTCTCCACGGTCTCCGGCACTAGGCCACGACGTTGCCATTCAAGTCGTCGAGCGAGTGTCGCCCGCCTAAAAGCATGTATTACTGTTTGATTATAATATAATTTACATTCCAATGAGAAAGACGAAGCGCTGCGTGCATTTCAAGTGAACCAAAAACCAAGCGAACACCATGCTCAAGTTATTGTAAGAACGCGTAATTACTTACTCATATGCGTTAAAATCATTTGAAACCAAGAACATGATTTTAGGTGCATATGTATGCGTTCAGCAGTGATACGGGCTGATAAAAAAAGAAATGTGTGAACGTGAGTGCGTGTCAAGAAGTTGAGTATTAATTTGAAATATAAGGCGCCGTCTTATTGCCATCGCTCGCGCGATGATGCGATGTGATTTCATCGATTATAAATCGTGTGTCCTATTTTGGAACGATGCGATCACTCTCGAAATGGCTCTTGACAGAGATACATAGTTTTTGCTGTCGATCAATATTTCTTTAATAGTGAATAGCATTAAAAAAAGAAAACGTACACCACATAGTATACTGTATAAAAATAGAAATCAAAACGGTGAATTTCACAATCCGTATTACGACGTACGGCAAAACGAAGATTTTTATGAACACCCCTCCCTTGCCTCCGCCCCTTGGTCGCGCGAGCGCTATTAGGGCATTCAGTACTGGTTGGAGGTGGGCAAAGTGTATCATTTTTGGGATTGGAACATTTGCATCTTGATCACTGAAATGTTCCGAAACACTGATATGTTTCATTTGGCTCATTTGTATCATCGACTCAAAAGATATAAAAGAAAGAATGTTCCGAATACATTAAGTTGCGTCGCGGGCGTTTATTACTGACTGATCCGTGAAATGCAACAATGCTGAATAATATAAGTGCTTAGATTATTTATTGTATACCGTAATAAGATTGTATATAAAATCGATTCTCCTTCATAATTTAACAAAAATGCCACTATGTCAATTCATTATTTACAAAAATGTCCATTTACACAAAACAGCAATGTCATGTCGATGTACACACAATTTTCTCGCAAAGTATCATAACTCTAAACTTTATGATGAAAAGGAAGAAAGTAAAGTCACAATAATCACTACGCAAAGAAATCCTAAACATAACTCAGTATGTTTTCGTAAACAGGCGCTAATGAATATAAACAATTTGACAAGTGCCGCATCAACGTAAAATGACAACTTGTTAATGCAAACATTACATACAAAAAACGACCGTATAGTATTTGACACATAAGCGCCTTAGTGGTAATTTTTACGTGCATGAATAACGTCAGCGAAAATCCGTACGAGTTGAGTGATACACTTCTTATTTGTTATCTCTATCTGACTTGTGTGGATTATAATTATTTCGCCCGCTCACTCGCCACTCGTGAGTCAATAGTTAAGTTAGTCATTGTCTCAGTCTGTCTCTCTCGCTCGTGGCTCAGTCGCCTCGCAAGCGACGCGTCGCGCGAAATGAGCAAAGAGCAAAGTAATGTTTCACTGTTCCGAATCCAAATGATACATTTGAAACGTTGTTACTGAACCAATCTTATGTGACACTTCAGTGATTCGAATCAGTGAGTCGTCTCCGTAAAGAGATACACACGCCTAGTACTGGTTAGTATGTTTGATCGGACGATCGTCCGATCTATATACAATGCGTCGATAATCGCACGACGAAAATTAAACAATCCGGTCGCCTCGCATGATCGCACGACCTTCAATAGGACATTCCACAGATATGGGTATGTTTGAACGCACGGTCCGCACAATCATTTTCGTCAAACGTACGCATGATCGCGCGAGCGATGGCAATAGGACGGCGTCTAAGTGCACAGTGCTTCGTCTATCATTCTTTGTTTGTCTGAGTTTCCGACAATACAAACTTCCAATCATTCCAAGGTGCTGTTTAACCTACTTTATTGTATTTTTGCAGTTTTGTTATTAAAAGATAAGTTGATAACGAATCTATCTATAGACATTAATTATATGTATTTCCTACTAATTGTTTAAACATTTCGGCCCTTTGAAAGTATTCCTAATAATTCTTGTTCGAAGATGTCAATAACTATTTCTGTTTTTAAATTAATTTTTTGTTGTAATTTTGCTATTAAACTTTAACGAACGATTGTGATAATGATTTTATGTATAAGGTAAATACTTTTATTTCCAATTAAGGTAAAGTATAGTTTAAGAACATAATTATAAAATAAGCATTTTGATCTTTAACTACTTCTATTTAAAAAAAAAACAAGCATTGTATAATGTAGCTAAAGCTACGAAAAATAATCCAATTGGAGATCTATAGATCTAGTAACCCTTAGTAATTACTAAGGAATTTTACTCACTTGACGTCTAGAAGAGATCTTTATAAAAACTTAAGATTGTTGAACACGTTCGATAATAAATAAGACAGTTTACGATTGTCACGCTGCTATATAATCTTAAAATTTATAAAAATTTATTACTTAAATGCACTTCAAGACGTCCATAAAAAATCAGCAAAATATCTAGAAAATTTATAAATACAAAATATGTGCATGTAGATATGCTTTTAGTTATTTTTTATATTCTTTTTTTCATGTTTGTGTTTTAAATATATTTTCTGTCTTATATATATTTTATATTATGTATATATATTTTTATATTTATGATAAACACAATATTATTTCTATATTTTGTTTGTTACTCTATATCTATAGGTATCTATTTTTAGGATTTTATTCACATTAAAGTAACAATTTGTTCAAGTTTGCGCGATGCCATTTTATTAAAAATAATGTCTCTATTGTGCATTTAAGTATGTTTTTAAACTACTTAAACTAATTCTAGCAATAATTTTAAAAATGTCATGATTTGAAATACGGTAGCTATACGCTGTCCCTGTCCCATCACACAAATGCACTTAAATTTTATCTAGGTAATATTATATCTAATGTTTTGTTATATAGTTTATAGACGAGCAATATTTTTGTTACTATTAGTATAGTTATATTACTAGAGTTAAGTCAAACATGTAAGATATTTAATTTTAGAAATAAACAAATGTAAGCAATATGGTTTTGTTTTTCTATGAAAATTCACGATCTATCTGTCGCATTTAAATATATACCTATTAAAATAATTATTATCAGACATCAGATTCATTATGACAGATATCTCAAATTTTTCCATGGTTTTACATTCATTTAGCATTTGAAGCAAGTATGTGCACGTTTACAAAATAAGTTATATAATTTTTAAATTAATAATACCTCTACACACAGACACAGAGTAGTAGAGGGTACACAGATAAGACAATTTTTTTTTCTTTAAACTGTTAAGAAAAAGGAAACTAGCACACTTATTGACAGAAATAATTGTAATTCCTTTAAATCAATACAAAAAAAAATTTAAACTGTTGTCAATTAACGCCAAAATAACACTTCGTTTTTTCCAGTGAGCAAAGATATTACGCCAAATAGTCAAGAAATGCCTAACTCTAGGCCACCGGAGCCAAGTCGGCCGCCACCGCCATCAAGACCACCTGCACCCTCAAGGCCACCTGTACCTCAATACAATGCACCTTTGCCACAAACACCAGCAAATTCTGGCGGTTTATTCTCGTCTATTCGAGGCGGGGCAGGTAGTTTCTTAAAAAACCTAAAAGATACCTCATCTAAAGTAATGCAAACCGTTCAACAGTAAGTAATGTTAAAATATTACACATTTTTTTAAAATGTTTTATTATTTTGCCTTGTGCAAGGTTACCATTTTTTTTTCAGGTCAATTGCAAGAACAGATCTGGACATAAGTTACATTACTAGTCGTATAATTGTGATGCCGTATCCGTCGGAAGGATTAGAAAGCGCGTACAAAACGAATCACATTGATGACGTGCGGGTTAGTATTAGAATAAATCTAAAGTAATCCCGTTAAATATGAGCGTTTTAAAAAGCATGTGATATTGAATTATGTTCTATTATTACAATACTACTACTGACTAAGCACAACATTGCTTTGCATACTTTTAAGTTTATATGCGCTGCCACCACTGCGGCTTGTTTCTTTCTAAAATATATTTATGTATTTTATATTAATTACATTAGAAATGGATAAGCACTGAGGCATTGTTCTATTTACATACATTATGATACTATGTGACCATCAAACGATACAGATAATACAAAGTAATAAGTTCACATCAGGTAAGCGTAAAATTGTTAGCTCTCACTGGTGTTCATGAGCATTTTAATACACAATGATTAATGATTTTTTTTTATAAGATTAGGGTGACAAACGAGCACACAGTCCACCTGATGGTAAGTGGTTGCTGTGGCCCATAGACATCTACATCTATCTTCGATTACGAATCAAAATGCAGATGCGTTGTCACCCGTGAGGACTAAGATGGAATGCCTCTTTTCCAGTAAAATGGGTCTCCGGTTCTCCACACTCACCATAAGAAACACAGCAGTGTCAAGCTGCCATTTTACACTGGTACTCTGTGAGAGCGTGGTCCTTCCCCGGTCGAGCTGATCCATTTGTGCTACAACTATACTACTAATATAGCTGCAGCATGGCTCTACCACGTAAAAAATTTGGTACTGTGATCTACAATCCGCCTGTCAAGATTATAGGATACCAGCCCCCATCCCCACTAAATTCACTAAGCACTTAGTATAATATACAGAGATCACATTTGTAATGGTTAGCAATTATGGCCACTGGTACCAACAAGCAGCCATGTGTACGTTATAATTAATTAATTATATTATTATAGTTTTAATTTTTGAAGGCGTTCCTCGAAAGCCGGCATCCCGGCGGAAAATACTGCGTGTACAACGCGTGTCGCACCAAACTGAACTTTGCCCGTCACGTGCTCGTCGCGGACGCGTGCCGCTCGCTGTGGCCCTCGCCCGCACACAAAGCGCCTCTGCTGTCGCCCTTCTACGCTTTACTGCAGCACATGTACCAGTACCTCGGCAAGGACGACCGCTCTGCTATCGTTATCACGTGTCAGGTGAGTGTGGGGTTCTTGTTACTCAAAATTATTTATTAAACACTGACCCGGTATGAGATGCAGGAAGTCGATAGATGCAGGCCTGAGGACCGTGCTTTATGGCATTCTCTGGAGGAAGCATAGGTTCAGCAGTGGACTTATGAAAGGCTGTGGATGATTATGATGAAAAACTATATCATAGTTAAAGAAGTTAAGATTCGACAAATCTCTGCTTCATCCTGATGAAAAGCGTCAGGAAATTTACAATTAGGCTATTGTGCAGTGACAGTTATAATTTTACATTTGATTCTAATGAAATATGTTCTAAGAAGCCCATTACGTCATTTTAAAAATTATTTAAACATCTTTTCATTAAAGAAAATTACACAATTACATGTTACACAGTATTTATAATTATATAAATGTTATACATACATGTATAAGAAATAAATGGTGGCTTTATAGTTAGTAATTTAATGCAGTAATTTTAAATTGATTACGAATGTTTAAGTTGCTGACATCACTTTTCGGTAGCATAAAGTGAATCTAATACATCTTGTAATTATGAATAACACGTATTAAAACTAAGAATATGAATTTGTTAAATTGGAATGAAATTGATTGGGTAATTTTTTTATAAAATATATCAAAAAAGTATTACATACTTGTTTATAGTATGTACTTAAGACACGCTTCGTTTGTTTTAACGAAAGAATAAGTTGCAGGCAAGGTGAATCTATTTGTAGAACGTCCCACCTTTCTAGATCGCTCCTATCCGATGCTGTACAGCTGTATGGGGCACCTACCATGTTATTATCTTTTTTTTTAACAGGCGTGTGCTCAGTTTTAAGGCGTTTACCCTGTTACTTTATTAAGAGTTAAATATCAGATAATAATAATGAACGACAGGACGGCAAGTCTATGTCGTGCATGTTGGTGTGTGGACTGCTGTTGTATGCGAAGCTCGTGACCGTCCCGGAGGACGCGCTGCAGATATTCGCAGTGAAGCGCTCGCCCGTCAACGTGGCGCCCGCGCACCTGCGCTACCTCTACTATCTTAGTAACATTGTGCGGTAAGTTCACGTGCGATACCAGCGAGTCGAAGTGCAATATTTCACATAATATGAAAAATATTATGAAACCTATTAAAATATTATGAAACCTATTAAAAATATTATGAAACCTATTAAAATATTATGAAACCAATTAAAAATATTATGAAACCTATTAAAATATTATAAAACCTATCAAAAATTATGAAACCTATTAAAAATTATGAAACCTATTAAAATTATGAAACCTATTAAAATATTTCATTTATGCTCAATACTCAGGATTGGTTTGGATCTTTAAATTGCGATCCAAACGTAATTATACTATCACAATCGAATTGCAAGCATGCATAGGTAGAATGATATAAATAATTCTAATTAGTCATTCAGTCTCTATCTTTAGTATATACTAGCTGTTCCCCGCGACTTCGCACGCGTGTTATTTGGGGTTTTAATTTTTTTTGCGCGGAACCCTAATACTTTTTCTAAAATAAAAGTAGCCTAAATTACTCCTTGCGACATCAGCTACCTGCCAGTGAAAATCCTGTCAAAATCGGTCCAGCCGTTTCGGAGATTAGCTAGAACAAACAGACAGACAGACAAAAACTTTAAAATTTTTATTTTTGTTATTAGTACCGTATATACTTTCATCTGCATTAGTAAAAAGTTGTAATTTTGACATTACAAACGGACACTTCAATTATATTTATTTGTATAGATTGCATTATTATAATATGTATGTATTCATTTTTATTTCATTTTAGTGAATAGTGATTTTAATGAATTTTGTTAGCAAGAGATTGAATTTAAAAGATAAAAAGCATTATGATTATAAGGAACTAAGCGCCAAACACAAGATTATCTCCAAATTTACCGTGAAAGTTCCAGTAAACGATATATTGCAAAATCGCAATGCATATTTATACGAGAAGTTGCATAATTACTTGCAGAATTATAAATTATATTATTTCTACAAAATTAGAGCCATCATCATCATATGAGTTTCAGTTTTCACTAATATTGAATGTATCTTGTACATTTCAGACCAGAGCCAATTCTTCCTCACTTCAGACCAGTGTCTCTAGTCTCACTTACAATCCAGCCGGTGCCACTGTTTACTAAAGCAAGGTAAGAAACATTATCGAATATAATTTATGTAAGTTTGGTTAATTTAGATGTTTTGTAGTTTTTTGTGCAGTGCCAAAGTTGCCCCTTCCCCGCTAGTGATAGTAAAACATGTGCTCATACTGCATAAAATTTGGATGAACTAAAAATTCGTTAACCAGACGTTGTTTTGTAAATAATGACGTCATTATTCCAATAAGCTATGATTGAAACTTCGTATTAAAAATAACGATGTATGTTAAACCTTTTATTATGTTTGTATATTGTTTAAAAGTTTGAATTAAATACACAAATAATATTCCGCCATTTCAGGGATGGCTGCCGACCATTCATCGAAATATATAACGAAGATCGATTGATTTTGTCAACAGTTCAAGAGTACGATAGGATGCATTTATACATGATGGCTGAAGGCAAGGTAATTTGTAAAACGCGGTTATCCGGCGCCACTTGTAATGTCTAGTGACTCAATTAATGGCCATTGCATACGATTTTTTCGTGCGTTGTCTTCGCTACTTTTATACTTCGTATTTTACGAATTTGCGTTAGCAGCACTGCGAATATTTCATCGAGTTAGGTCGGCCACATACATTCTGAATTCCGTTTCGGAATTTCGATTCGGGTTTCCGTAAATACATCACACACATACGTTTATTTCCCTCCGGTATAACATGGCTCAGTTGAGAGACGCTAGAGTCTAGACATTCTGCCAGCAAATAATGACGCCGATTTTCTGATTGCTATTCCATTGTTGATGTATAATTGTTACTGGGTGCATCCCCTTAACACCCTAAGATTGCAATATAGACAATATTATGTAAAAAGATCTATCTATCTAGAGATTTTTTTTATATGGATGTCTATAATAAACTCTTTCGACGAATTATTAAAAAAATATGTTGAAGGGTTACGAAAAGAGATACACATATAAGATTACATGTAAAAACATACATATACACACCTTGCGTGCACGAGTTCCGTACGGAATGTAGATATGTGTAAAGTGACTCATATAAAATCTATGGAAGATTTGCATTCGGAACGGCTTTTTCCGTGCGTGATTCCGAACGCACAGGCAGTCATGCGGAATTTCGAATCAAAGAAAATTTCGAACAAAAGCTACTGTACGTGATAAGTCCTTGATTTTATATGGGTTTGCTGCGTTCAGAATTCCGAACCGATAAAACGAAAAGGTTTTTCGAAACTGAATTCCGAATGTATGTGGTCGGCCTTATGGCTGAGATTACGTTGCGTTTGCAGCTCATTTTAGATTTAGAGACCGTTATCTTAACATCCATGCCTCCATGCCTTCTAAATCCCGGAAATATGTTATTTATTTTATCAAACCGATTTTTATTGAGGACTATTTTGGTGATTTATATTTTTCATACCTATTCAGCTTTACGCACGTATTGTATTGGTCTCTAAATTCATCTCTTTCACTTGCGCTTTTGTAGGTCATCGCGATTGAGGTGAGGACTGTTTCACTTTACCCATTTAATATAATCGAATATAAGGAATGTGTAAAGCTTGTTCGAGATCCTATTTTAGTTTTCCATCTGTGTAAAATAAAAGATGGTTCACTATGGACAAGTTTGCATAATAAAATCAAAAAGTAGGCACTTAATTGCGAGGCCGGCTTTATGATTATTTTACTCTAAATCTAAAGGTCTATATATGTCACACCTAGGACAAAATAGATGATGGAGATGGAGATGTTGTTTTTATCTTTATTATTTAATCATCTTCATAGTTCACAAATTATTATAATAAAAATTAGCACCAATTTTTGATATAATGAGAAGATTCAGTTTATCAATTTTTATACTACATATGAGCGAACGAACTACAAAAGACAACGTGATTCATACGATTTGTAACATACGAATTTGTTTCACATAGACGAGCAATGAAAAGTCATTGTAGTTGTACACATGACGACATATCAAGCCACCCATTTCCATTATAATAAGATCCTGCTTATTGACCAGTAATATGGCAAACAGCACCGCGCGAGATCAGCTTATACCAGAAGATAGTGGTTTGATTTGTGTTCATGCGTACTTATTATACTTTAATCAGTTAATACATCAACATTCAGAAAAATATTCCCGAGAATCCCGGGGCATGTCCATATTAATATTATCATTCAAGTTCATTGACTGAAAATGGCACTACCTACGCCGATCACCAGTGATCACACATTGCAACAGCAATAGATTTTTTTGTACCTATTTTTTTTAATTCTTCGGAAATCTTTTTTACTGTTAAAAACTCGTTGTTTTTTTAGTATTTTAAATTTAAATAATCGTAAACTTAAATTCATTAAGCTGATATTATGTAAATTACTTCATGATGAATGACCAACAGCCGCATTCGAAATATTCTGGGTGATTTACAGCTTGCATTCGTATTTATTGTATTCGTTGCAAATTGTCTGATATTTTATTTTATTATTTAGAAGATCTTCTTGACCAGCAGTTAGTGTGTCCAAATTGTTACGCAATAAAGTAGATAATGACGATATACATAAATGAAAGTTTTTTAATTACCTTAACTTATTTTTTGTTTTTGTTGTTTGTTGTTTCGTATATAGGCAGCTTGGGGAGGGTTGATGTGAAAGGAGACGAAAACTTTTTCTTATTTTTTATCACTTTTATTTTCTAACTTACAAGCTCACTTAACTACTGTGACAATGTGAGTTTACAAATAATAGACTACCTAACTTACAAACTAATCTTAACAATTAAACCTTGATTTTTATACTATGTTGAATATTCTTAAGTCACGTAAGTAAATTGAGTCACGTCTTTAAAGACGTGCTGCTATTTGCTTAGCAGGCGGTGCTGTATGGCAGGTGTATTCGTGATGGCATGCAAGGTTTCGGTAGGCATATAGTTTTAGAAATATAACGCATATTGTGAAGATGTCAGCTTATGCAGTAGCTTTATGAAAGATGTTGTTCTAGCTAGAATTGCCATAGTACAACTGTGTTTTATGTACAGAACATGGTTATGTTATTATTATGCTTTTATTGGATATATGTAGGTTTAGATATTATACCCATATATAACTGGTCGTTTAGACCTCATCGCCCAACATAAAAGTCCAAGCAGTCTGATAATGTGGTCGTTAATTTGCCTGACACATTTACGATTACAGCAAATCCTTTTAACAAATTAAGAGGCTTAAGTGCCTATTTATAGATCCTAAAGAAGCAATAAAGAATAACGTCAGTAGGGTCTGATTTCGTTTTATTTTATGTGGCCGTTATTTGTATATTTTCGATCAAAGATTCGAAAGTTATATTCGAAGGTTAACTTCTCTTTGCTGAGTAGGTATTTGAGACATGTTTAATTTTTCAAAGTTTTATTCCATTATATGAAATTTAATGCGTGCGCCCAGCCTCTAAACTAAACCTCTATTCCCATTTATAAACGTTCCTAGTGTAAAGAAATGAGCGTGCACAGGTTACCCTGCCGCTGGACAGCACGGTGACGGGCGACGTGTTGATCTGCGCGTACCACGCGCGCCAGCAGCTCGGCCGCGTGCACTCTGTGCCGATGTTGTCTGTGCACTTCCACACCGGCTTCCTCGCGTACGACCAGCACGCCATTAAGTTTACAAGGTGACTAAAACATTTAACTTAACGTCTAAGAGGACATCTCAAGGTCATACCACAGATTAACTAAAAGTTACTTCGTAAGATATGTTTAGTCTAAACATGCCGAAGTTCTACTGCCCGTTTTCAGTAACAACTTCCAAAAAAGTTTGTAAACTGTCAACGATGTGTGCAACTGTTCAGTGCAATCATCGTACCCTCTAACATAAGTACCAATTTGGCAGCACCTACTCGTATCTGAACGCTTATAAAAAGAGGCTTTTATGCAAAGTCAATCTTCGGGAATTTCATTATCACGTCACAAGTCTACTGATGAACATAGGCCTACCCCAAAGAACGCCACAAAGCACGGTATTGAGCCATATGCACCCATCGACTTCCTGCATGTCTTACCAGGTCGTCACTCCATCTAGTGGGAGGCCGCCCTACACTTCGTCTACCGATACGAAGCTGCATTTCTTCTCCGTCGGTTGTTGGTTCATCCAGTTATATGGCCAGGCTATTGCCACTTCAGCTTACTAATCCGTCCGTAAACTTCGGAGCTTGTCCCCGTACTATGAGCACATGAACAGGACTGTGAAAATAACATTTTCCTTTTCGTAGTGTACTAACTTTAAGCGCGTTGTGTTACACAAGCTTGTGTAGGAATACAAAAAACACACTTAACATGTATATTACACACTTATATATTTATTATTATTAAGTTGGTAGTAATTTTATATTGTGCTCGTAATTCGTTGTACTTTTCGTAATATTTTTTAATTTGTCACCGTCAGGTGTTATAATATAGAATCGATGTCGAAATTACCATCTAAGAATATTTATCGTAGATGGATACTATTCAAAGCGTATTATTTCACTATTTTTTAATTGTCGACGTTACTGGTACTTTGCAGCACTCATTCGGGGTCATCAGCCAGGTGATGGGGGACTGAGGCGATCAACGTTTTCTTTATGTTTTAGTTATACCAGGCTACCTGAAATTCACAGACTACTCCGGGAAGCCTGCTGTTTAGGACTGCCTTCGTCATTATATCAGATTTGATAGACCACAAAATCTTTACTGCAAAAGATCTGCTTCCTATCAAGAATGATTCACGGAACTATTGAAATTAAAAAAAACATCCTTACTTGAGTTAGTAAAATCGCTGACACTTTGAACTAGTCAGTCCCCTTGACCGGATCTCTAGAGAAGTTTAATTAGACGCGATAAAATCCGTAAAATTATCTTTATATTATTAATATTCGTTAGAACATAATATATCGATAGTGTTCTCCATTGGCAATTTGAACCTTAAAAAACCCAAACTAATCTAATACTATACATATATTACAAGAGATCATTCTGTAATTTTAGATCTGAGATAGACGGTATAGATGAATTGACACCCGTCAATGACCACTTCTCGTCCAACGTATCGGTGGTGATCAGCCTCGTGGTACAGAACGGCGAACGTAGAAAGCCTCGCTGCGACCTGTGGGAAGAGGACCACTCCTTTCCCATACGAACGCCAGATGTACTCTTCTCCACTACTTTGGAGAGAGACGAAACAATCGATAACTTTGGTAAGTTCCATTTAATCCAAGCTGTGGTGGTGCCGACTTTGGGTGCCTTTACCTTGGCCAATACCAACACCGACCCGATACCGACAAAGCAGTGTCAACACTACCGAAACTATATCTATTTAAGATAAGATTTTAGTGCCTAGTGATATTGGTGAACCTTTAACACCAACGATATATCGTTATGTTGTCAGCTAGAAAAAATGCTTGAAGTGGTATCTATCGGATCGGTATCGTTATCTGTCAATTTAAAACCTAATTTGGGAAATAATGAATAATTTACAAAAATACCTCTATGCACTATGTTGTTAATTCTAAATATAATAATATCATTTAATGAAATCTCACAATAATGTATTAATATTTTAGTTTAACATACTATGTAAATAGCGCTTTTAAATATATAGTTCCTTAAATTATATATTTCGTATTTGAATATATGTTTAACTTTGATACAGCCAATCTCCGAAGAGGCACGACTGCGATTCCACCCGCAAGTATGTCGTCATATTCAATACTATGCCATTTTAGAAATTTTGTTCAATACATTTACGTTTAGTGTTCATCAAATTTTCAGTTATGATAGATTCATCATCATCATCATCATCATCATCATTACAGCCCTTCACAAGTCCACTGCTGAACATAATCCCCCAAGGAATGCCACAAAGCACGGTCCTGAGCCACCTGCGTCCATCGACTTCCTGCATGTATTACCAGGTCGTCACTCCATCTAGTAGCCCTACACTTCGTCTGCAGATACGAGGCTGCCACTCGAGAACCTCCCTTTCCCATCGGTTGTCGGTTTTTCGAGCTATATGACCGGCCCATTGCCACTTCAGCTTACTCATCCGTTGAGCTATGTCGGTTACTCAACTTCTACTGCGGATAGACTTAAAAACGAGGATGTTTTTAAGTCTATCGCGCAGAGAAACTGAGCATAGCTCTCTCCATAGCTCGTTGAGCAACACTGGTTATACTTGTCTTGTTTTGAAGTTTTGAGGTATACCTGACGAGAAGATGTGTCGTAATCTCCCGAACATTATTAATAAAATAATAACATCATTCATCTGTGATAGATTGTTATTTACTAATTATTTAATAAATTTTAGATGATTTTTTTGCAATTTTTATATTAGGATTGATTTCATAATTTTATAAAGCTTTGTTCAATTCACAGCCCATATGCCAAGCTATGTATGCTATCTTTCTTCAGAATGTCTATGTAAAGGGCTGAAACAAAAACTCTTACACTTATAATGTATTATACATAATACATCATTTATATTTAACACAATTGCAATCATATGACATATTTATTAATTAATAAATACTTCATTTGTTTTGTAGTTACTATGGCTATGATCTGAACAAACTTTACATACAATGTATAACATTCAGGACAGCACGATATATCTTTACAGCGTTTTTGTCCCGCACAAAAATCATACAAAGACATTCTGTAGTTTTGTCACAAGAGTTTTATTTTGTTTTACAAATTTTTACACATGACTTAGATTAGATCACTTTTCACTAGATATGTTTTTAATATGGGTAATAAATATTGCCTGCACAATAAAAAAGCAATGCTGCACTCTTTTAGGTAACTACAATTTATGTGATACGTGTTGTTGTATATAATTTAAAATAATATCATATTTATATTGTTTCAAAAATTTTCCAAATAAAAAAAATATAAAAACAAAATTAACTATTTTGAAATACTTTATCAAACTTATACCAGCGTAAAATAGCAGCGTAACGCTGCTGTGTTCCGTATAGTGAGTGTAGAGAACCGGAGACCCTTTTTACTGGAACCAAGGCATTCCATCTTGGTCCTCACGGGTGACGACGTATTTGCATTTTGATTCCTAATTGAGGATAGATGTAGTTGTCTATGGGTCACAGCAATTACATACCATCAGGTGGACCGTGTACTCGTTTGTCACCCTTATCTTATAAAAAAAAAACATCAAGAAATCCCTAATTTTATTTCAGACTAAAAATCTGGACTTCATGCCAAAAGCGTGACGCCCAGCAACGCTGGTATCAACGCTTTACTATGTTTGAGATATTTTTTAATTGACGAACGGATTTGAGTGCAGATAGACCTTGCATCTTTTAATTTGTGGTTTCCAGTAACAGCAGAGCATACACCTAAAGAGACGGAAAAAAGGACCCCGGAGAGACCGGCGAGACCGACGAGACCGGCGCCCCCCTCTCCGGCAGCCCACACCACGGCCGACTTTCTCAATATCTCCAACAACGAGCAAAGCGCACCGAAAACTGACAAGAAACTGAAAAGCGACGACTCTTTCGACTTCTTTGGCATGATGGAGAAGCAGAGCGACGACGCTTTCGGCGACTTCCTAAGTGGAAAATCTACGGAGAATACTGAGGTTTGTAGTCGGTAACGCCGTGAAGTATTGGGGTACCGGGTGAGGGTGTCGTGGAGGGTGTGGTACCATTATGTTGTTCCACACAAACTTCGAATACGAATTCTTAAGGTCACAAGTGTTGTTTATTTTGAAGTATACAAAGATATGAAACAAACCTCTTTTAAATAGGTGGGATGAAATTAATTCGGCCTGGTCTGGATGAGGTGTTGCATTTGTTTGTTTAAATGACCAAAGGCTGCGGCCACAACCGTTGGTTGCCGGCTGTCTTCACACATATAACTTCACAGATTATCGCGAAATATAGCGTTATAGCAAAATGTCTATATACTTTATTGTATTCTTGTATAGTTCAATATCTAAAGCACACAAGGGCTGGAGCGATTACGCGAGATATATGGGGTGCGGATGGTTGTGAGTCTTGCGAGCTTGTGAGTATCCCGTTTAACACAAGAGTGCACATGCTAGGCATAAAAGGCGGTAGATAGGGAACCCGAAAATGGACCTGGGAGTACTCTTATTGGATACTAATTAACAAATCTCATAAGCTTTAGGCGGTAGTGTGCAGTGGCGCGAACAATAGGTATGGAACATTTCCACATGAAAAAGGGAATAATAAGTGATCTAACACCCTTCAGCACATGTCCTTCTAGAGATCTAACATATCCTATCCGCTTTAATTTGACCTTAAGCAGTGGTGGTCCGAGAGCTCATGACGCATTTTTCATGAAGTGTTTGATGCATCATGAAACTTTGTTTAAAGGTATCAGTCGACTCAATAAGCAGGTATATGACTGTCTGCCTGGCCTACCTGGGTACACCTGGTACTGCGCATACAGTTAAGTCAAAAAAAAATTTGCCCAAAAAAAAGTGTTTGATTCAAATAATAATAATGACTATCCGTTAGCTAAGTTTATAAACAATTAAGAAAAAAAATGGCAGACACTTCTGAAGGGGTTTACATAGGGGCAGACGACCACAAAGTTGTATTTTCAAAAATTCCAAAAAAAGTGTTTGATTCAGTCTGCCATTTTTACAGCGTGTTTATTATGTATAATAAAATATTCTCACAAAAAGGCAGACAGTTTCTCCGGGGGTTACTAATTTAAAAATCTATACAAATAAATAATCACTTTTTAAATGGTCCATATTTCCTATCATAATAATTAATACATCTGTATCACATGATTTGATAAGTACATTGACAGCAGAATCCGATTCCAATTGACAAACATGAAAATAATTATACTTTTTTAAGATTATTTAAATAGCTGCTGATAAAATAAAAAGCTGTTCCCCGCGACTTCGCCCGCTTGTAATTTAGGGTTTTATTTTTTTTGCGCGGTACCCTAATAATTTTTTTTAAATTTAAAAGCAGCCTAAAATACTCGTTATAACATCAATTATCTGCCAGTGAAAGTCCCGTCAAAATCGGTCCAGCCATTTCGGAGATTAGTCGGAACAAACAGACAGACAAAAATTTTAAAAATTGTGTTTTTGTTATAAATATCGTATATAATGTCTTATGCGTTTAGTAAAAAATTGTTATTTTGAAATTAAAAACAGACATTTAAATTTTATTTATTTGTATAGATTTTTAAATTAGTAACCCCCGGAGAAACTGTCTGCCTTTTTGTGAGAATATTTTATTATACATAATAAACACGCTGTAAAAATGGCAGACTGAATCAAACACTTTTTTTGGAATTTTTGAAAATACAACTTTGTGGTCGTCTGCCCCTATGTAAACCCCTTCAGAAGTGTCTGCCATTTTTTTTCTTAATTGTTTATAAACTTAGCTAACGGATAGTCATTATTATTATTTGAATCAAACACTTTTTTTTGGGCAAATTTTTTTTCGACTTAACTGTATGCGCAGTACCAGGTGTACCCAGGTAGGCCAGGCAGACAGTCATATACCTGCTTATTGAGTCGACTGATACCTTTAAACAAAGTTTCATGATGCATCAAACACTTCATGAAAAATGCGTCATGAGCTCTCGGACCATGGATAGACTAGTGTTCAAGTACCCTATAATGTTGGTTCTTCTTTTCCTTGTCGTATGTAACCTAATCCGTCATCGGCCGAAGTTTGCTCGGGCGATGACGGCCGAACTCGGATGATCGAATCAAACACTTGTAAAAGAAAGAGAGTGCGTAGACAAACACGACCGTCATCGTCCGATAACGCACGAAAACGGCCGATCAACTGTTGAATCCGAACTTGTTGAGATTTCTCGCCAGATTGCCGGCGTTTACAGTGCAAATGAAGTGTATTTATAGTTTAATTTAATCATTCTGTCTTTATTCTGTTGTTTCTGTCAGTGTTGTTATCTACCTAAACGACTATGGATATTGAAAAATTAATTAGTTGTGTTTATAAATAGACGATTACAATAATTGAGAGGTTTCGAAACGGTTATGGGCTGAAGTTGGTTCGGAAATAGATATAGCAGTTCCAGATATTTTAAAAAAATACGTCTTCACTCTGTTAAGCAACATAGTCAACGACAGAATACCGGCAACGTCCAATGTCGGCACACGTGGTACACTGTTGCAGTGTAAGCACATACACGTCCGAGCTACTCGTCCGGGTAGTTCTGTCCGCCATCGGTCGACAAAATCGGTTTTGGTGTACACGTGCGGTTATAATAAGATCAGCCAAGGACTGTTTCCATTCCATAGTAATTACATGCTGCCATTCAATACCAATCAAGAAGAAAGTAATTATGCAATATTTACGAGGATAAATGAGATATTTAAATGAATTATGATATAAAGAGAAATAACCATGTAACAACATTTATTCTAAATACAGTAAATATAATTAAATATTAATATAATTGTTAATATGAAAATATTAAAAGAGATCCGGGGAACTCCCATCTTATTTTTTTTTCAATTGAAATATAAATAAATTACTATGTTCTTATTCCAGAAGTTTTCATCTAACTCAATCTTCGGTGACCTGCCCGTGCCGCCTACGGAACCTCCCATAAATCAAGCCAATGTGAACTCTAGTGACCCGCTCAACTTTGACCCCTTTGGCCTCAATGATCTTATACATAAACCAGAACCCTTGCTTACTCCCCAGTTAGTGAAGGACGAAGGTGAGCTAGAAATTATAATGATTCCAACAAACTAGAAATACAATGCTGAACTAGAATTTAGTTAAATATATTTAATTATGTTTAATTTAATTGCACAATTATAATAAAGGAAAACCCCATCTCATTGGTCATTGCGTAGGTGTTTTAAGTGATAAATAAGGGAAATTTCCAAAAGATATTCATCGATAGCTTAACTTCCAATGGATGTAGGTATAGCCTAGTCAGATTTTACCAGATACAAAATCCCCAGTTGGTTAACCTGAAGCAGCATCAAAGGTATGAGATGTGCGTAGTCGCCAAGCCAGTGTTTTCATAATCTAGTACAAATGTAAAATATATTTCTATTTAATAGTAAATGTGTAAATAAAAGCAAAATGCTGTGTTAGTCCGTATTCCCTAATATATTATTGTATATTGAAAATATATACTACTCTATATACATACATACATATAATTACGCCTCTTTCCCGTATGGGTAGGCAGATACCACTTCTTTCCACTTGCTACGATCCTTACATACTTGTTTCGCTTCGTCCACTTTCATTATTCCCTTCATACATGCTCTACGGTTTAGGGTACTCTTGACCTGGTCTTTTTTTCAAGACGTCCCTGATTTGATCTTGAAACGTCCGCCTAGGTCTACCCCTTCCAACACTTTCATTCACACTCGCTTTATACACTTTTTTCGTCAATCGTTCTTCATTCATTCTCTCGACACGGCCAAACCATCTCAGCATACCTTTTTCAGTTTTTGTCTTTCAGTACTACTCTATATATATATGTATCATATAAACTATAATATACTACTATAGATACTGAAAAAATACGGTCATTAAGAAGTATGTTAGGAGTAATTCTGAATGATAGTGGGACAAATTGTGTAGTAAATTTAAAAATGTAGTTTGCAAGAAGATCACAACACGAAATACTTTTTTTGTAGTGACCAGGATTAAGAAATTAATGCTTCGGTGGTTGGGCATATAAAAAGAATGAATGAGGACAGAGTAAGAAAGTAAATTTATGCTGCAGAAGTGAGTGCCAGAGTCGCCAAGGGACGGTTGCTAATTTCAAACAAAGAAGGCTGCAGATGCGTCATCACCCCTGCGGGTATAGTTATGGAGGTTATAGATGCCTCACAACCTCTATATCCTGTAGACCAGAACACAGCAGTGAAGGTACTGGCAGTATTTGGCGACAGAAATAGACGAGAGAGTAGTATCTATCCCGTCGGACTCCTAGGCACAAAAGGAGCTTTACCATTTGAGTTATTATATTAAAATTTATTTGCATTTAAGTTTTAAAATGACGTCTAGTGGCGAGGACTGTTCGTATCGTCCCGTGGCTGTCGTAAGAGGCGACAGTGGTTAACTGAAACAGGAGATGGGCAGTACCATCTTTCTGATAATTACGCAATAATAATAAAAAAAATGTGTTTGACACTGCAATCTTAATCTACCCCCCCCCCCCCCCAACGAAAACTTTTAAATTAATATTTTGTTAATGAAACAATTATTATAAACAACTTCCAAATCATATACCATGTTGTCATCTTGAACTTTTACCGCACCAGAAGTCCTTTTGAGTAGCTGCCACCCTCATACTAGTTTTTGCCGGCAATCAGGCATCCAGTGTTATGAGAGTCAGTATAATAACTGGTTATGAGGTTATTCATCGCAGTCCTAAGAGAAGGAAAATATGCGACTTCTTCGTTTCAAGCAAACATAGTCACAATTCTACTTGTATTGTTTTAGTACAAAAATCGGTCCAGTTTTTGAGGAGGAAACAGGGGAATATGAGATGATATTGTCAATTTATCATAAGTATCAGTTCCAGCTGCAACTGTTTCTTTTGGTTATCTATCTTGGTCTGGAGCACATCGCGATAGCAATGCATTGTTAAAAATCTATACTTTAAAATTCTTGCAACCCAGGTATCCTTAATTGTCTTATTGGTGACTTGATGAGGGATTAAAATAAAGAAACTGCCATGGTTCTTGCCATATTATAATTTATCTAAACGTGGTAGAGCCATGCTGCAGCTGTATTAGTAGTATATTTGTAGCACGAATGGGTCGACTCGACCGGGGAAGGACCACGCCCTCACAGAATACCAGCGTAAAATAGCAACTTAACACTGCTGTGTTTCGTATGGTGAGTGTAGGGAACCGGAGACCCGTTTTACTGAAAAAGAGGCATTCCATCTTAGCCCTCACGGGTGATAACGCATTTGCATTTTGATTCTTTATTGAGAATAGATGTAGATGTCTATGGGTCATAGCAACCACTTATCATCAGGTGGACTGTGTGCCCGTTTGTCACCCAATCCTATAAAAAATATCCACTTTAAGTTTTAATCTCTTTCACAGGGCGGTCCCAAAGCGTACCACTTGATCAGGCGCAGCCGTCCAGGAAAGATCCATTTGCTGATTTAGGTTTACTGGGTACCAATTTGTCGGCGGGTTCAGCTCAGTCAACCGGGTCTATTGGATCCGCGGGATCTACGCCACTGTCTGCATCTACGGCACCTCTCGGATCTATGGCACCCCCCGGTTCAACGATACCCACTGGGTCTGCGGTACCCCCGGGGTCAACGTTAGCCGGTGGGCCTGGGATACTACCAGGAGGCACTCCGATGATGACGCCACGCGCGTCTCCGGCACACACTCCAGCACACCAGCCGCATACTCCCGCACGTTCGCCGGCACATCAACCTGACTACAGGTAATCTCTTTTCATACACTTATTTGCTTAACAACCAAAGACAATATAAACAGGCACTACTATGACTGATCATTTCGCTAATATAATTTTAAGGTCAAGTCAACTTGACCTTAAATTATGCTATGCTATGTCAAGTTAGCTCGAGGGTACGTTTTTGCAAAAAAGTGATCACAAGAAATGAAAAGCTCACATTTATAAATCTTTTAATCTATTGTTTTTCCAGTCGGACGCATTTCGAAACGGCCAAGACGCCCGCTGACGACAAATCCAAGAAATCCACTGATATATTTGGCGAGTTGCTTGGCAGTCAAGGTTACGACTTCGCCACCAAGAAAGAAACAGGACCGAAAACCATAAACGCATTGAGAAAAGTGGAAATGGTCAAAGAAATGGACCCTGAGAAACTTAGGATACATGAATGGGTATTTATTTAAGTCTACACTAATTTGAATTTGAATATACCATAGAAATAACATATAATATGTACACAGACACACACACACACACAAGTAAATGTGTTCGCGCACATCCGCACGCACACATAAATACATTTACTTGGTAGCCGCCGAAGCCTTGGTTAACGCAGTGCCACTATTACTACTCGACCGTGCGCGTGTATTTTTTTTATTATGTACGAGCAGCTGTGCAGGTCTAGAGAGATCAGTATCACTGCGACCTAAAAGATCTATTGTGATCGCTGCTATGTCTACAGTTCACTGCTAAGCCATACGACCGCAATGAATAGAAGGAGTTGCTTAGCTGTGAGTAATTTCACTTATTTTGGGCGAAGTATATATTTTCCCAGATGAGTGCTACGTTTGCGCATTAAGGGTGCGCAATTTGTCAGGATGTGTAAAGGCGTTTCCTCCTCTAGGGAGCAAAACCGGCACATCTTTGAGTTGCTTAGTCCCAGGATGGACATGTGCTTTTTAAGACAACAGTGTCTCCAGTCAGGGCTCTTACCAGAATGTTGCGCGTGTATTAGTACATATCTATTAACTTATTATTGACCAGCTCTCCATCCTTAGAATTTATTTGCCATATACCATGTTCGGTGCATACATTTATCCAATATTTAAAAGTTTTCAAGATAAGATTTCCGAGTACCGGAACAAACTTTATCTGAAGTAAGTCTTTGCTGAACAAAGTCTCAGATTGGGGGCGACTAAATCTAGTCCAGTTTAATCCTCAGAAGACACAAGTTTGCGCGTTTACCGCTAAAAAGAACCCCTTTGTCGTATCTCCTCAGTTTCAAGGCACTCCCCTTGTTGCCTCAGCCAGTATCGAAATCCTCGGCGTTGATATACCGAGTGACGTGCAGTTTCGTGGTCACTTGGAAGAGAAGGCCAAATTTGCCTCTAAAAAGCTTGGCGTGCTCAGCAAAGCGGGACAGTATTTCATGCCGGCACACCGCCTGCAACTTTACAAGGCGCAGGTACGGCCTCACACGGAATACTGTTCCCATCTCTGGGCTGGGGCTCCCCAGTGCCAGCTCCTTCCACTTGACCGCATCCAGCGCAGAGCGGCTCGAATCGTCGACGACCGAGTTCTTTCCGATCGGCTCAATTCATTGGCGCTGCGAAGAGATGTTGCATCCCTTTGCATTTTCTTTCGCATTTACCACGGGGAGTGCTCTGAGGAATTGTTCGGATTATTCCCAGCCGTCAAATTTCACGAACGCACATCGCGGCTGAACTCCCGATACCATCCACACCATCTGGATGATTGGCGGTCCACCACTGTGCGATTTAGAAGATGTTTTCTTCCTCCCACAACTTCCTTGTGGAATCGATTACCATCAGCGATTTTTTCGGGCCGATACGACTTAGGAACCTTCAAGAAAAAAGCCTACTCCTTTATAAAAGGCCGTCAACCAATTCCCCTGGTTCCCTTGGTGTTGCAGTTGTTCATGGTCGGCGGTAGTCACTTACCATCAGGTGATGAGCCGCATGCCCGTTTGCCCCCTCTCCTATAAAAAAAATATTTTCGTTACGTGGTAGAGCTATGCTGGGGCTATATTATGGTTGTAGCACGAATGGGTCGGCTGGACCACAGAAGGACCACGCTCTCACAGAATATCAGCGTAAAATAGCAGCTTAATGTGCTGTATTTCGTATGGTGAGTGTGAGAGAACCGTAAGTCCCTTTTTAAGGGATGCGTGGTATTTCGTCTTAGTTTTGAGGGGTGGCAACGCATCTTCATTTTGATTTTTAATCGCTGATAAGTTCCATAAAAAAAAAACAGGCAGCCATAAGGGACGGCTTGGCGGTGGCTTGCGCGCAATACATTATGAGCACGTCGAGGTCATTGGTGAGGCGAACCCGAATAAGTTTTTTCCCATTTCATAGATATTTGACACGTAATATTTAGTCCGTAATAAGGGATATAGCAAATGCATTCTATACGGACAAAGGTACCCGTCAGTAATAATTTATTTTAAAGTGAGTGTACTTTCACGGTGCGTCCAGACGGCATCGCGCAGTAGCGCTCGTATAATGGTATGAAGCAACCCCGCGAGCGGGTTCAGTAGCTGCGGGTGGCGATAGCCTGCACAACGTAGCAGTGCATATGAATTTTTGAACAAAAAGAGACGAATGCTTGTATCCGATCACGAGAATTTGTCTCCGTCATGCCTAGCAGGCGAATTGTCAATCACAGTGCCAGACGTCTTGCACCTTTGAGATGTGTCGCCGGTGTGCTTATTTATCGTTTGAAACGAGATATTTTTAAACGCTGTCTTTCAAAATTCATACATATTACCAGCTTGAAATATCCACCTAATGGTGCTGCTATTGTTGCTACTAATATTTCGTATTGTGAGTGTACTGGTTACGAGGCATTTAACTTTAGACTTCAGGGGTGAGGACGTATCTGCATTGTGATTTTATCGTAGATAGGTGTACGTATCTGTGGACCACAGTATACAAAACAAACACGCGCGTGCACACGCAGTGTAATGATTACATTTTTTTTATTTAAGAGGCAAACGTGTATGCGTCTCACCTGATGGTGACTACCGCCGCCCATGAACGACAGCAACGCCAGGGGCATTGCAGATTCGTTGCCGCCTTTTAAAATAGAACAGACGTTATATAATACACTTTGATACGTAAGCCGGCCTAACAAATAACCACAAATTTTAGATTTTAAGCGACCCGCATTTTGACATGAAGTTGTCATTCCCTCAAGTAGGGGAATGTCTCACGCTGTAATTTAAAAAAAAAGTCCTGCTAGGTTTCTTGCTGGTTCTTCCCAGATCAGAGGTTCTTTCCGAACCATTGGTAAATTAAACAAAAGAGCAACTTTAAATAAGTATTATTTATAATCTATATTGAATAAAAATGTTTCTGTTTCTGTTTTATTACTTACCATATACGTTCACGAACTGCGGAACCTTTCTCCTCAACAGATGTCGGTTCCAGCCTGTTGCTGTCATTGTTTCTCTTTTTGTGTTGCTGCTATTAAACGTTTTTGTTACAGACGGAAGGCAAGAAGGCGAACATCCGTGCACTTTTGTGTTCACTACACACGGTGGTGTGGGAGGACTGTCGTTGGACACGTTGTGACATGTCGCAACTTGTGTCGCCCGCTGATGTCAAGAAGAACTATAGGAAAGCCTGCCTGGCTGTACATCCTGACAAGGTTCGTTTGTTTATACATTTATTATTTCTTTTATTTTTACTTATTTATTTTTACAACGATTATCAAAGGCCAAAGTCCTTGGATTCATTGCGAATTCTGGATTTGTATTTCAACCAGAACTAACATCTGTGCAATAAGTAAAAATAATAATAATATTATAAACTTATAATATTATTATTATTTAATTATTATTTATACATATTTTTTTTAAATATCGTAAAAACCACAGGGGCTAAGCGTGGCCGAAAATTTCATAATATGCGAGCAACTCGGTATCGATATCTGCTGGTACCGATTAAAGTCTTAATTATTGCAGTTATAGTGCTGATCGCATGTTCTTGGTGTGGAGGTTAACATTGTGATGTAGGTCTGCAAACCAAACTATTCCGAGGAAAACCTTGGAGCAGCGCACCGGACTGCTCCATAACCCTTTCTTTAATAAATACCTTTAATTTTACCCGACTGCCCCAGAAGAAGTATAGTGTTTTCGAGTGTATGTATGTATATGTATTTCTTTGGCATGCTCTGAAACCTAAACGACTTGATGGATTTTAACTTACGGCGTATCGTTAGATTTGCCTTAGTTGTAGAAGTGACAGGGTTATATTTTTCCAGCAAACCTACACAATCGTGGTTCTACCGACTTCAAAAAGTAGACGGTACTCAATTCGACTGTGTTTATATATGTTATCTCAAAACTTTTTATTGAGTGAACCGATTGTGATGATTCTCTTTTTATTTGAACGCTGGTGCTTCACATGTGGTCGCATATAAATTCGATATAGGTCTGACCAATAGTTTTTGAGTTATTCTTAATAATTTATATTGAAGTCGGTTGTACAAAATTTTCAATTTTAAATTATGTTTATTATAATTACTATTTTTACTGTTGGGCTTGTTATCTAATAATACATCAGAGTGGGCTCAGTGTATTGATTGATGTTTGATGTATTGATATTCAGGGGTGTCACTTCCACTATGGAAGGTATGGAGCACTCCATACCTCAAGTTTTTCAAGGTATGGAATTCCATAGCTGAAATTAGGAAATAAATCGCATATTACTACAAACCCCATATAAATAAATCGCAAGCCCTTAAACCTCAATACCCCACATCTTATAGTTCAATAAATAAGTTGAGTATATACACTGCAAACTCTTAAACCTTAATACCCCACGAGTAATGCGAACAAATTTGAAAATCGCGCCACCATTTTCCATACCTCAGATTTTTACAAAGTGACACGCCTGTTGATATTATTGGTATAATTAGGTATAAAATATACACCTAAATACTACTTTGTTTAAAATTTCGCAGCAAATGGGCACACCCAACGAGAATATAGCAAAGATGATCTTCATGGAACTAAACAATGCATGGAGCGATTTTGAAAATGATGCCAAACAGCAGAACCTCTTCCAGTCTTAACATGTTTCAAGTTAGACCTTATAGTTAAGAACCAAGTCTTGAGTAGATTCAACAAAAATCCTCATAATTACGAATAGTCACGTTGTAATACAGTCAGGATTGCCAGAAGACGTATAATTGTTTTTCACATTCTACTGACCGATTGAAGTCGAGACATTATAAAATGCTATATTTAATTCTGATTTAAGAATAATTTTAACGAGCTTAAATCAAAGTAAGCTATTATTAGCTGTAATAGCAATGAATAAACAGTATTTTCCATTAAAATTACGCGATTAGTTATTACTTCCATTTCTCTGTCAATCGAAAAATTATGAGTTTCAGGTTTAAGCTAATAATATGGCAACCCAATCAATAAAAATTTAGAAACAATGCTGACTGTTCCCGAATATATAATATATGTATTCTATTGCATAGTGAAAATAAAAACTATTATAGCATTTGGATAGTAATGTAATAACATATACGTAAAGTAAACACTCAACTTATTAAATATTGCATTTTCAATATTGGTAATGCAGTATACAGGGTTATTTTGCAATAACTGGCCAAATTTGCAGAGAAGGTTCAGAATAAGTAATAGGCAAATGGCGAAAATATATTAATTTAAAAAATTACAATTATTCTGTCCTTTTTATCTTTTAAATTCAAAATGCGTGGTAATGCATTATTTTAACTGATTTTACTGCGCACGCACACCTTCGTAATGGTCGATCGGTAGGCAAGAACGTTGTTGCCCATAAATCACATTCAATTTGGGCTAATTTATACAAATAAATAAAACTGAAGTGTCTGTTTGTCATGTTAAAATAAAAGCTTTTTACTAAATGCATATGAAAGTATGTATATACGGTACTAATAACTAAAAAAAACTATTTTTAAAATTTTTGTCTGTCTGTTTGTTCCGGCTAATCTCCGAAACGGCTGGACCGATGTTGATGGGACTTTCACCGGCAGATAGCTGATGTTTTGAGGAGTAACTTAGGATACTTTTATTTAAAAAAAAAAAGAATTAGGGTTTCGCGCAAAAAAAAATTAAAACCCATGAAATCGTAGTAAATTTCACGCGGGTGAAGTCGTGGGGGACAGCTAGTTTCATATAAAAGTACAAAGCCTTATTTACTCATATTTTCAAACTGCCATAACGATATATCATTATTTATATATTTGAACTTGAGTTTAAAATTTGGCTACTTTGAAAAATAACCCTGTATAATGTTATTATATAAACTATTAATAACTATCTAATATTCATTGTGGAGATACTTAATAGCCATATAACATGATGTGCAATATGAGGTGCATATAATAATATTATGCAATATGTTTGCATATACGCTTGCTGCGATGTTACGATGTTTGTTTTGAACTTATTATGTAACTCGATTTTTATTATCAACAAAAATGTTAAATTGATAAATGCGCATAATTTGGATGTAAATATTTATCTAAAAGTGTTATATAAGAATACACGATTTGAGTTTATTTGAAGTTAGTTTCAAGTTAAGTTACTAATTCGTTATAGAACTTAGTTCATAGGTCAACTTGAAATGATATGTACACAAAATTAAAGGTCATTTTGTATTACACGCATGTCAAAAGGGTATTGGGTTGTATCGGAATGGTGCACATTGTAATCGCTATAAGCAAGTACGGTATTGGTAGAAACAATGTAGATATATTTTTAATTACTCTTATGTATAATTATCTCGTCGAAAATAATTTAGTTATTAGCTACATGCCGCCGTTGTAACTCAAACAAGGCTTGAGTCAATTGCAAATAGAATTTTTACATAACAAAAAAGAACTTAAAACAAATCTTTAATAATACCATTTTGCTCGATAATAAATCCAAAATATATAAAATCACACGTATTTCAACTATATACTTAACATTTTACAAATTTAGTACTTAAAAATATCTTTATATTAAACAGATTTTATTTTATTTTATGAGCACTGAAATTCAATTTTTCATTTCAATTCGTGCAAAATAAAAACAAAATTATTTATACTTAGGTTTATGTTAAAAAAGAAAAATAAACTTTATGTATGTCATATTAAGAAGTAATAGATATTAAATTTAGTAGCGTTATTATCTTGTACAATGATTATAACGTGTTACTAAGTTACTGTTCTCCAAGAGCTTATAAAATCGTTAAGTTTGAACATTCCTAACATTGTAGGTAACCGTGTACTCGTAAATTTTTTATTTTTTTATTTTAAGTCTATAAGTTTTTAATTTAAAGTAATAATTTTAAAATATAGGTCTAAAGGGACAGTGGTACAACTATAGTGTCGTGAGATCATTTTATGTCATGTATCAATTTAGTTTTTTTCATTTAATATTACACTCATCAAATTCCCCATCCGCTATCCCATGGATTTTATAGATTAAATATTTCGTTCTAATCATGTTTTTTCAAAGCCTATTAGAATATTTTATGCTAAATGGCTTTGAACCTTTAACACGCCCTTTAATAAACCCAAGTACACTGACTGAAATAAAATTAAAAATATACATAATATGTTGAGTGAAAGAATGTAATAATTATAAGTTTGTGTGGTTAGTGTGAGTTCTCTCCACGAGTCTACACATTAACTGATTGAATGTATAAAATTAAATAATTTTTCCTGTTGTAGTCTCACTTTCTCCTTGATTATATTTTATTTACTGAACCAGTGCTTGTGTTCCTATTTATACTCTTGAATCGCTTGGATAGGGCCTACCAGTTTTAATAAGTTACTATTAAGTTATAAAGGGAGGCGAAATGTGCAACATGTATATTGCGCATTTCTGAATTTCTGTATATTTTGCTTTACTAATAGTCAAAATGTTAAAATAAAAAAAAATGTTCAGGAATAAATTATGTGGCATATTAATTTTTTTTTTAATACAAACCTTTCTGTCACTAATTATAATTATTTTTATAGAATTTGTTAATATTTTATACATATGTTAATATACAGGTGCCCAGAACGTAACGATCAAACGAAAGGGGGTAGTAGACCAAGGAAGCACTGTTAAAAAAAATAAGTCCTATACCCAAGTTGCGTGCTTTAAAAGATAAAGGCCGATTTATAAACTTTCCAGAATATTGCTGAAGTGCGACGATACAGCGATATTTATTTATTTGTTTGATTTCGTTATTGAAAACATACGGGCGAGGGCGGGGATCTTACCTACCTGAGCTGTGCATACTTCTAGTCACTTCCCAATCTTCTGTCTCAACTGTAAAGTGCAACTCATTATTAAACAGTCAAAAGTACCTTATTCCTTTGCAAAATCGGCAAAATTCTAGGATAGTGAAGTCACGAGTTGAACAGGATGGCTGCTAGCGTTTTCACGCGAAAATTTAAAACGATACATTAAAAGTAATTTTTATGGTACTATTCGGTTTTAAAAAATTTATACAAAAATTCCAGTGATTGGTACTGGTCACAGTACGACGGGTCTCATTACGATAGGATGATATCGCATAATAAGCGTTGTATCTTGCACGGATCGTTTGGCACGAGTGCCTCTATGTTGTTAAAGTATGATAAGGCGGGTCTGTTGCCCCAAAAATATAACAACTATCAAAACATGCGTGAATACGCTATTATAATGGGTCACACCAACATGTTCTAATTTGACAATAAAACTTATATAGCTTTAAAGCTATGTTTATGAAAATAACAATAGTTTTTGTTTCATCCAAATTGGTGCAGAAATACGAAAGTTATAACGTTTTGAAGTTTCGCAATATTTTTTTAATTTTTACCCGCTCGTTCTCTGTGATGTGACGTCACAATCCGAGAGAGCGAACGTGCAGTAGGAACTTGCTAAGTTCAGTACTAACCACGCGCTCGGAAGTATACGGTCGTTTACCTACATATTATATCGAACGTCAGAGTTAATGTCCGGTTGACTGTATTAGATGACATAATACTTATAATAAACCCAACGACTATATAATAATTTTGAACTAATAATTTATGAATAATCTAATCTGTTATTATGAATAATGTAATCAATGAACTATTAATAATATTTGACATTTGTATGCCCATGAGGATTCAACTCGGCTGGGCAGCGTTCGGGAAACTACGACACATCTTCTCGTTAGACGTACCTGAAAACCTGAAAACGAAATTGTACAACCAGTGCGTGTTGCCAGTGATGACTTGCGGATCTGAGACGTGGTTCTTCACTGCTGGCCGTATGAGGAAGCTCAAGGTCGCTCAGCGAGTTATGGAGAGGGCTATGCTCGGGGTTTCTCTGCGTGATAAACTTAGAAATAAGGATATCCACAGTAGAACCAGAGTAACCGACATAGCCCAACGGATTAGTAAACTGAAGTGGCAGTGGGCCGGCCATATAGCTCGAAGAACCGACAACCGATGGGGAAGAAAGGTTCTCGAGTGGCAGCCCCGTACCGGTAAGCGAAGTGTAGGGCGACCCCTCACTAGGTGGAGTGACGACCTGGTAAGACATGCAGGAAGTCGATGGATGCAGGTGGCTCAGGACCGTTCTTTGTGGCATTCCTTGGGGGAGGCCTATGTTCAGCAGAGGACTTATGAAGGGCTGTTATGATGATGATGATGATGCCCATGAGGCTGATCACAGACTGAACTTTATTTGTGTTTAAATAAGACCTTTATATAAACTGTGAATCGCAAATAAACTATTTGATATGATGTATAAACTAAAGTATTGAACATTTAGCTTTTATATGATTTTTTTCCAGTAAGATTAAATTTATTTTTATTTTATTTTATTTATTTATTTATTTTCACCAACAATATACATTCAGAAAACAAAAAATATGTGCTTACATATGATACAATACTATTGTGTAGTATAGTGTGAAAAACTGGTGCCTAAACTAGGTAAAACCTGTATCTTAGGTCACCATTTTATTCCCAAGGAGCGTGATATTACAGAAATAAAAAAAAAACAGAAAATAAAGGTTACTGATAAATAAATAACATGACAAGAAAAATATGGAGTAATAAATATGGAGAGAATAAGAAAAATATAACAAAAAAGACTACTGGTGGCATCGACGTGTCGTTTTGTGACGTCACATCGCGATGCGGAGCAAAGCGGTCGCCCTTACCGTAAAACACCATTTTACTCATCAATATCTCAGTCATTTTTAAAGGTAGAATAAAAATAAGAATATCTTTGCATTCGTAATTTTTTATACAATTTTTTTATACCTTTAACAAAATTGGGTGGCGAAAACCGAATAATGTACGGAGGTGTTTTCAGCATGTTTCTCAGGTAAATTTTTAGAAGATGTACTGGATAGATTTGAGATCTCAGTCTGATTTACGTTTGTGATAAGTATACAGACTTTACCATTGTATCATAATATTTTGTTGTGAACAAATGTGGCCAGCATATCTGGTACAGGTTAAGAATAACTAATAGTCCAACTGTGAGCCTTCGGTATATATAAAAGTAAAAATTTCGTAACACCCAATTGTTGCATGTACTCTAACTCGTGTGTTTCTCCAATTTGGCGTGTATCACTCACCATATTTTGACACTGGTAAACCAGATGATCGATCAAAATCGTCATAATTCTATGTTACATATGCGTGTTGGTAATTTAATGTTTTTAAGTAACAAAGAGCCGCATTAGTGCGCCGGAGTAGGTATATAAATCGATCGACAAGGTATCTAACTCCCAAAAATAACTTTAAAGAACACTGACTGTAGTAAATGCCGGTAAGTATAACATTCATCATTACAGCCCTTCACAAGTCCACTGCTGAACATAGGCCTCCCCCAAAGAATGCCACAAAGCACGGTCCTGAGCCACCTGCATCCATCGACTTCCTGCATATCTTACCAGGTCGTCACTCCATCTAGTGGGGGGACGCCCTACACTTCGCCTGCCGGTACGAGGCTGCCACTCGAGAACCTTTCTTCCCCATCGGTTGTCGGTTCTTCGAGCTATATGGCCGGCCCATTGCCACTTCAGCTTACTAATCCGTTGGGCTATGTCGGTCACTCTAGTTCTACTGCGGATATCCTCATTTCTGAGTTTATCACGCAGTGAAACTCCGAGCATAGCCCTCTCCATAGCTCGCTGAGCGACCTTGAGCTTCCTCATCCGGCCAGCAGTGAAGAAAGTATAACATTAAGGTGTTTTATTTATTTATATATTAGGATTACCAACAGAAATTACAACAGTAATACAAAGATCATTTTCATAACAAGTTCAACACAATATAATTGTATTTCTTTTTATGAGGATATCCGCAGTAGAAGTTGAAATTATTCATTTTTAATTAAGTAGGTACGATGTATATCTGAGAAACAACAGTATCTCAAAAATATTGATTTTTAAGTGATACAACCAATTAAAAACAATATTTAACATCTCTAAATACAACAATAAATTATGTAATTCGACGGGACAAAATGCTAAAAATCCTTAGCAAGTGTTGAAAAAGTATCATTTACAGGACTCCAAGGGGCATTGATAAAAGTCGCCACGAAGTTTTATGCAATACATTATCAATCAGTCATAGAATAATAAATACTTTAGTAGTGTCAAATACTGGTAATTTCTCAAGATATGATATTAGAGCTGGCAAGATACCAGTCTATCGGAAATAGTAAATCAGTTGCCACTTTTATAATCTTAAAGTTTCTGATTTCAGTCCAGAAATCTGGGCATAAACGGTATGGTTGATACACTCTCGATTAGGAATGCTATATCGGAGGACCAAAATATCTGGACATGTCGGGATGTCTCGAAATGTCGGGATTTTGGTTGTTATCGGGAGAAATAAATATTAAAAATAAAAATGTTTAAGGTGAAATGGGCACCAAAACAGATTTTTCATGTGTTATGGGAGCGCAGAAAATCAATTTTTTGTCATTAAAAACTACGAATTCGCCTTTTTTTAAAAATCATTATGAAAATTAAAGATATTTCTTAGTGAATTATGATGGCCAAAACACGATTGACAGATTTTGGCTCGATACAAAAAAATCGCAAAGTTTTCTCAAAATCTGCAATTTTAGGTACGTCTGTTAAGGTAAAAAGCAGTTTTATTCGAATATAATTAAAGTAATTTCAATTAAATTCTGTCTATGTGTTCACCAGTAAATACATGGGAGATTTATGGGTTTATTTTTCAATAAAAGAGTATATTTAATTTTAAAAAGAAATATCAAAATAAATATAGTGCAATAAAATTGCGCGCGGGCTGGCCAAGCAGGAGCATATCGCCGCTCCCGCGTCCCGCCAGTCGTCCGCAGCGCGTCATAGAAAGCACCTGTGTACAACTTTATCACGCCCGCCTTCGTCGTCTATACAACTAAAAAATTGGAAGGGATTAGTACCTAAGTCACAAAAATGGTAAATAAACGTAACAAAATAAAAAAATATTCACGACTGAAGCTCAAGAAACTGAAATTGTTGAACCTGAATAGGTAAGTTTTTTTTTTATATTTATCACTCCATCTTATGAATATTTATACAATATATAAAATATTTATATATTATATTATAATTATTCTCTAAATCATAATAATATATATACATATTAATTGTAATAAATTATAATATACCTATATGTAATGATATTTCATAATTTATAATATTGTATTGAATTTGCAAGTGTTGAGTTCGACGACTCGACCATAGCGCAATGGCTCAGCAATGAGTTACAGCGCTAAGGGCCGCGGGTTCGAATCCCGCACGGGACAAGTATTTGTATGGCCTACAAATATTTGTTCTGGGTCTGGATGTTTGTCCTTGTGAAATTTATGTTTGTAAACCCCCACGATACAGGAGAATCTCCTAGTATGAAGGTAAAGTTTTTTTAAAAAAAAAATTGGAAGTAGCCTTGACATCATAATTTGTTTATATTTTGATAATTCGAGTAGCAGTCTCGTACCGACAGGCGAAGTGTTGGGCCTCCCCCCACTAGACGGAGTGACGACCTAATAACGTACAGGAAGTCAATGGATGCAGGTGGCTTGATCCCGTACTTTGTGGCATTCCTTGGGGGAGGCCTATGTTATGTGGATTTGTGAAGGACTGTAATGATGATCATGATCATGATCTGCTCTGTATCTGTATCTTATTATTATTTTTCTTATTATTGTAATATGCACAAAATCTTCATTTTATAGTAGAAACAGATATGGTCTAAAGTTTCTGTGTATCACAGCAGACTTATGGTATATATTTTTACAGAACTCTTGTCAACGCTAAGTCTGACATTGTGGAACTGCCAGCTGAGCAGTTACAGAGCACAAGTGAATCCGTCGCTCCACCACAATATCCAGAAACATTTGACGGGACAGTAGTGGAACTACAATCAGTATCGCCCAGTTTTTTTGAGTAAGCTCACTTATGTACCTACCTACCCCCGCACTTATACTAGAGAAATCCTGTCTTACTTTTACATTTTATATACAAGTAAATAATCTATTGTAATGTCAAGCAAAAAAAAATTCCTTTCAACTGGTGTCGCGGGTATCGGTGAAACCTAAGGTTTTTGGTTATATGGTAAGAACCTAAGTTCTTGTCGTGAATCGAACGCGGCGTAACAGATATAGAGAGACTAAATGCGGCAGCCATATTGTCGAAAAGTAATGTGCATCCTATCCCTACTAATACCCGCGATACCCGCGACACAAGTGATAGGGTTTATTATTTTTTGTTTTACATTACAATAGGTAAGTTACTCTTCGTACGCACAGAGAAACGCCAATTTGTATTCAGAAGTCATAAAAGGGTTGATGAAATGTTTTTATTTAAAAAATAGATTTTTTGTAAAACCGGTATTTTTATTTGCTGGGACTGGAATTTGATGAATATCAGTTTCAGTTAAAAAAGTTTTTATTTACTTATACTTTATATACAATGATGGTACACAAGGTGTACTTCTCATAGCCATTATCTACGAGCCAATCTTATCATCTTGCTACCGATGTCACATGTACATATACATATTATATATATTTCTAATTATTTATAATTGTTTCAGCACCTCAGAAAAAGTACTTGGTACTGAAAGAATTACAGGAACGGTCTCTCCGCAAATTCTAGAAATATCTGATATGGCACCAGTGAACCTTCAGCCAGTGTCAGTCACACCACCGCCATGTGTGACCGAGTAAGTTTACCCTCCAGTCAAATTATAGTATTTTTATGCTAATAGAGAAGGAGACGAGCAGATCGTTCGCCTGATGGTGAGTGTCACGACCTGTCTATAATATCTGCAGTGCCACTCAGAGCAATGCAAGTTCTGCGTGGCACTCATTCTTCCCAGTAATTACATAGTGCCTTATTTATTATAATAAAACAGTAATCAGGGTGAAGCTTTGAAAAAAAAAAACGTAACATACGTTTGCATTGAATATTTAAAAAAAGGTGGAGTACTGGCTGTAAAATTTACTCCACCTTTTGAAACTATTTACAGTGTGAATAGTCACATCTTTACGCCAGCTTTTTTATGGTTATTATTTTGTGGAGGCTAAAGAACCAGCATCAATACTGGTTTATAGTAATAATATAAATAAATATCTATTGGTATTAGTTATATATATTTATATAAATAATATAATACGCGTTTTACTCAATGTTTCAGAGCCCCCGAAGACCCGCCTTATATAGTGGAGCAAGAGTGTGAGACAAACTCGATCAAAACAATCACCGGTCGCAGAATTGTTGACATCGTTTATTTTTTGGAACAATTGCAACAGCAAAAACACGACCCTCTATTTCAGTGTGATTTCAGTTGCTTGGTTTTAATAACAGAAAAGCGCACCGGCCTCGTTTCACATTTCAATTTCCAATGCAGGATGTGCAAGAAATATTTCAAGGTGTGTACTGATCATTTGGACACTGATCGTATAGATATTAACACTGCAGCAGTCTCAGGTATAGTAGCCTCTGGGATTGGGTACTCACAATTCGAAGAGACTATGTCTGCTATGGACGTTCCTATTTTCCGTGAAAAATATTACGCGAAAATTCAAGATCACATGTTCAATGAATGGGAAGCTACAGCAGTGGAGGCAATGGAACAAGCTGCTGCTATTGAACGTGAGGCAGCAATTCAAGAAGGGAGGGTTTTTAATGGTTTCCCTGTGATTGATGTGTTTGCGGATGGTGCATGGTGTAAACGCTCTTATGGCAATAACTATAAAGCAATGTCAGGTGTTGCTGCAATCGTAGGTCGAAAATTTGGAAAAGTTCTTTTCATTGGCGTCAAAAATAAATATTGCCTAATATGTGCAAGAGCAGAGAAACGTCAGGAGAAACCGAAAAGTCACGTTTGTTATAAAAATTATGAAGGCCCGTCCAGCGGAATGGAAGCGACAATCGTGTGCGAGGGTTTCAAAGAATCCACCAATATGTATGGGCTAATATATGGCAATATTGTGGCTGATGGTGATTCTGCAACCTATGCTAAAATATTAGCATCAGATCCGTATGAAGGCTACGTAGTTTCGAAAATAGAATGCCGAAATCACGTTCTGCGAAATATGTGTAATAAGCTGCGTGCACTAGGTAAAGATACAAAATACCCAAAAGTGCAGAGAAAACATATTACCGACGAGAAAGTTATGAGTATGAGAAAAGTCGTCACAACTTCAATCAAACACAATAAAAATAATCCCAGGGATATCGCTATAAGACAAATTCACGAAGACATAACCAATTCATTGAACCACGCATACGGGGACCACAGACGTTGCAAAGATTATTGCTGCTCTAAAGATAAATCCATTTTGTCATCAACTGTGGGAGAGCTTGAACACTCGACATTTTGGTTTCGGCTAAAAGTCATTTTAAATTCGGTAGCCTCAAAATCTCGGAGTCTACTGGAAGACGTTGACACCAATGCTGTTGAGAGATTCAACAGCATGGTTGCCAAATTCGTAGGAGGCAAAAGAATCAATTTTGCTTCTCGACGATCATATCAGGCGAGATGCTCTGCTGCTGTTGTTTCCTACAATACCAAACGACCTCTTTACACCCTACATAAAAAAATATTGGGAAAGAGTCCTGTGGGCAGCTTACAAAAACTAGAAGGAAGGAGAGAGCAAAAAAGAAAGCAAGCCAACGCTGTGAAAAGAAAAAAAAATAGAACTAAACTTTTCGAGAAACAAAATGACTATGGTGGACGAGTAGCTGCGCCAGATATGTCTGTCGAAGACTATAGTGCAGCGTCTGCAGATTTTATGACGAATCTGAATACACTGGTTTGTGACCGGGAGGGAATACAAAAACGGACGACACTGCAACGCGAAAGCACTGAATGGTTACAAATCAGGAGATTGATGCTAACTGCTTCAAACTTTGGAGCAATAATAAAGAGAAAAAAAAATTTTGCTGCTCTCGTGAACAACATTTTATATAAATCAAATATTTCATCTATCGCATCAGTGGCACATGGACTCAGCAATGAAAAATTCGCGCTTCAGCAACTGAGCAGCCAAGAAAACTTACGGATTGAGGAATGTGGACTTTTTGTGGACCATGAATTTCCTTACATTGGTGCCACTCCGGATGGAGTCGTAGGAGAAAATACAATCGTTGAGGTCAAATGCCCTGTAGCTGCCTTCAAAAACGGCATGGAAAATGCTATCAAACAAAACAAGGTTCAAATTCTAAAGTTCAACAAAAAGAATGGCCAAGTTACTATAAATAAAAATAGTAACTGGTACTATCAGGCTCAAGGGCAACTACGAGTGACGGGCAAGCAGAGATGCGTTTTCGGGATATGGGGAGGGGAAAACGAAAAAATGGAAGTTATATATGTCCAAAAAGATGAGGACTTTTGGAAAAATAAAATGGAGGCAAAACTGGTCAACTTTTACCATACGCAAATTCTCCCAGAGTTGGTAGATTCCCGCCGAAACCGTGGTATGCCATTGAGAGGTAGTGAAAAATAATTTCTAGCCTATAATTGACTCGCAAAAGCGCTGTGCGCTTTTCGTATATAATAAATATAATAAAACCAGATATACCAGTTTTTCATTCCTATAAAAATCAGTTTTATAATTTTTCGTTTTTTTGCATTTTTATAAAACCGGTTTTAGGTATAACCTGTTTGGATGCCGTCCTTAGTCCTAGTATCCACTAAAACAGTGTGCTAGTGACAAGTAATAAACATGTAAATGTACTAAGTATATTTATAAATACGAACTGATAAGTAAAAGTTTCTTATATGTAAGAGGGAACTCATATGTAACAGATATACTTGTAAATTACACTTGAGTATGCCTAGGAACATTCCAAGTGATAAGAATTAAAAAAAAATTAGATGGTACTTATTAGTTTACAAGAAGCGTCTTGGACGGTGGTGTTCAAATAAAATAATTACTTTTCAAAATGACAATAAAGTAGTTATATACCTCAGTACGTATGTAGTTTATTTTCATGTTGAAAAGTAAGTATACGTCGACTCGTAAGTAAGTACATAGACATAGGTACGAGTCGTATCATATCAGGTACAACCTGTCTATAATACCTATGTACCAACCTAATATTATTTTTATTTTAAAATTAATTCACAGTATAATATTATTATAAATATAACACATTAGATAGGTATATAAAATCCAATAAATTAAAAAGATATACATCATACAAATAACTAGTCAGCATCATCATCAGCAGTCAGGTAGGTTGTTATCGAGGCCGACTATCATCACTCGTCACATCATATCTCTTTTAGTGCACCCAATTACGTAAAAAGTACGTTTTTCATAAAAAAAACTTTTTTATGAAGAACGTACTTTTTTACTTACTTTTTTTATGAAAAACGTTACCTCCACACAAGGATTTTCTTCTGTACCGTGGGGGCAGTTTACATACATAAATTTCACAAGGACAAACATCCAGACCCGTAACAATTATTTGTATGACATACAAATACTTGTTCCGTGCGGGATTCGAACCCGCGGTCCCCAGCGCTACAACTCATTGCTGAGCCACTGCGCCACGGAGCCGTCAATCTGAAACTATTTTATAAATAAACGCTGGTTATATCAATAACATATATTTACATGTATAATACGTAGTACACAATATATTTGTATACTACGTATTATACATACGCATGTATTCAACTATTAGTGGGTGTTGAAATAATCCTATATTTATGAAAGTGCGATCTGTAGCTTATCGCTATTGCTCGCAGCTGGCCGGGTCAGCGAGGAGCCCCGCGCGCCGGTCGCCCGTCCGCGTCTGCTTCACCCCCTAAGAATCTTCATGACCACGATACTATTTCGCCTTAACATTTTTTTTAAATTAATAGGCTATAAAAAGATTGACGCGTTACTAGTAGTATAATTTAAGGTGAAAGCTCCAGGGTGGTTCGCGAAATTCAAATTTTCTTACGTTTTTTGCAATTTGTAGGTCAGTGTCAGATTGTATGTTTAATAAAATATGATTCGCGACCGTGACGACTATGTATTTACAGAATAATAATCATTATAATCATCAATACAACCCCTAAGTTCGTATAATCCTATTGTATGGCTATTTCCAGAAAAACTCATTCAAAGTTATTACATGAACTTGTAGGGTTGTATTGGTGATTTTAATGATAATAATTGTTAGTAGATTTGTTGTTTTTCATGATTTTAAAGATAAAGATAGTAAAATAGTTGTTCTTACATATGGTAAGTGGTTCCATGATCTACAAAGAATTTGTTTTGGTTTCGGTTTTTACAAGAAACCACTGAATAACACGGCATTCTGATATTGTTTCACGATTACGGTTGAAAGTATACTAATACGCAGAGACGGCCGTTTGAATAGAACCTAAGCATTTTGATCATAGCGTGCGGACACAGACACGCCCCCTTGCCACTTCTCCTCTATTTAATATTTCTATGGTCATAAGACTCAAATTATATGCAACAAATTTCAACGAGAATTAGACGCGGGTGCTGAGGCGCGTGGCGTGGGCGTAGCGGGTGCGTGTCGTCGGAACGCGGTCTTAGGCTGACATCTATAAACCGTACTTTGACTTTGCTCGGACTTTACTTTCAAACTAAGATAATGTCGGTATTTATAGAGTTAGCTTCGTAGTCGTGCTGAGTGCGCGCTTAGCAAAGCCTAAATCAACGATATCGACGACTTACGTAAAACTCAGGATATTATCCGAAACCACCGTATTAATTTTAAGTTGTTGTTTTTATGTCACTCTAATTATTCATAACAATAAATAGGTAGTTTCAGGTGGAATGAAGCGTCATTTAATATTAGGACTGTCTGAGCCTTAGCATAAGCTTAGCTTAGTCTTAGCCCGATACAACTATGAATTCAGAATCAAAGATTATGCTAAGCATATACTCTGCTAAGTTTTTCGTAAGCTAAGCCTGAGCAAAGTCAAAGTACGATCTATAGATCTCAGCCTTAGACACGCCAAACTCGTTCTCCGTACTCAGCGTGGTATAGTGTCCTTCTGTGATCACAAAGACACGAGACCCATGACCTCAATAGGTTCATTTATGGTTTATAAATTACCTAACTACTTAACATTTTTTTATTTTATAAGTTAGCCAGTCTCAACGGCGACTAGAGGCAAAAGCGACTCAAGGTTCAAATTCGAACTGATATTGTCATTTATGTAACGCTGGTTATTGTTAATCTATATAAAGGTAAACTATTTTTTTCATATTCCATTGGAAGTTATTTATATTTAAACCTGACTTATTTACATTATTATTATAGGTGATAAAAACAACCTCTTTTTTAAGATATTTATTAAAACTAAATTTACTTCTTATATCAGCTATCTTCTAATTTCACATCCAAGCAGCCGTACCGTTCTAAAAGTTCTTGTTTTTTCCTTCTTAACAAGGCTTCTTCTATATCTTTTTGTGATGGTACGGCGACGAGCGAAGTTCCAGATGGCTTGTCAGTCATATCGTCGTCGTCTTCTATTCTCTTGTCGTCGGGCTGCAAGCGAGAAAAATATTTAATTTCTCACTAAAATTCACTTACACAGATATCGAGTAAAATAGTTCTGTTTCTACTATTTAAATATTATTGGGTATAAACAATAGTTTTTCAAGGTTTCATAATGCTAATAACCATTTTGTTGTCGAAATTCCACGCCTTCGAACAAAACGGTTTGCTTCGTCGATCATAATACATACACCAAAGAAGCGAAATAGTTAGGAAGCACTTGCCTTTCTGTCTGATTATGTGTGTGCTTTCAAAATTGAATACATTTTTTGTTTATACCACACTACACCACCAAGCGGGGTTGTAGTCAAGCAATGTCATAATGTGTGAAAAAAATTATTATAAGATAATGGCTTTTCGTAGTAATTTAATATATACTAACGTCTTCTGGATAAATATTCTCCTCTTCGGGTAAATCTTGATCTTCGTTCTGTTCTTTATTCCGCCTCCACTCTTCAATGGCTTGTGCTATAGCTAAAATTACATTCCATTCATTAAGTGTAGTCTGAACAATTTAATATTTAATGAATATTTTATGTACGCGGTAGAGCCACACTATATTATGGTTGCAGTACGAATGGTTCGTCGGTTCGCTCGGCCGCGCTCTCACAGAATACCAGCGTAAAATAGCAGCTTAATACTGCTGTGTTTCGCATGGTAGCGTAGAGAACCGGAGGACCCTTTTAACTGGAAATGATGTTTCCCTCTTAGTCCTCAGGGGTGACAACACATCTGCCTTCTGATTCTTGATTGAGCATTAAATGTAGATATCTATTGGCCACAGCATCCACTTACCATCAGGTGGACTGTGCGCTCGTTTGTCACCCTATTCTATAAAAAAATCACACACAAACTGCTGAACAAAGGCCTTAATAGATTGCCTCATATCTTCCTTAAAGAACAATGGCAGAAAAATAGTTGACAAAAATTATTGCGTCTAGAAATAAGTTATATATAAAATGAGTTTTATTATTTTTCTATGATTTATCAAATAAAAATGTATTTTAATTAAAGCCACAGAAAAAAAAACAAACATCTTTGGGAATATCAAATGACTTAAATCATTTTACTCTATTCAAGTGTTGCCATTTACTATATTCATACTATTTTCGTATACACTTTGTAAGACTACCAACACAACACACAAACACAAAATATTTTTATATTAAGTTATTATTAGTAATAACTATACTATCAGTAATAATAAAAATAAAAGTGATATTATTGAAAATAAGTCTCTTACAAAGAACTTCCTACAATAATACATTATCTCAATCATAGTAATATGTAAAAATCCTATTTAATGTTATGGCAACACTGGCTAAACAAAATGTCACTGATTTTTTTTACTGGCTTTACAGCCTTTCTGGGAATGTCACTGTATGACAAATGCCCTAGAGCCATGTCAGAAATATACATTTATAGTATGCAAATATATAATAGAGATACAGTAATCTAAAAACTCTCAATTATGTAGGTAGGTACATTATATTGATAATGTATTAATCATACAACCACAGGACGCATGACCTTTTCCAAGCGACATAAGACATAACCTAAAAAGGTTCAAATCTAAAAATTTTTTTTTTACGCCTTGTCAGGACACTTGACAGGTGTTGATTAAGGAACTGACGCTTTACTGACTAACCTTTTGAAGATAAGATAAGAGAATATACAAACAACAAGCCTATGATGATAAACGGGCGTTGAGGACCCACATACATGTTTTCGTAGACATATTCATATTAGATGAAGATTCAAAATATAGCCATGATCATTCTCAGTGGCAAAGAACTGGAATGCCTGGTTGGATGTATTTTTTGGCTTGTTACGGATACTTGAATTGATTCGTTGAGTGTTGTCATCATGTCATACGTTTGCAACACGCAAGAACTCTTGCACCATGAAGACAAATTACTTCGTTGCTAGGATATAGTTAAAACATTTTCATGTTTTCTGTTTTGAGATGGATTTTGACGCATTTATTTATTAAATATTTAAGGTTATTGTATTTTAATAAATTTATTTTTACGGCGGCAAGTTGTTCCTTACGCTTTACCTTTTTTTTCTGCCTCCTTCTCCAAGGGCAGCAGCAGTCCATCGTCGTCGTCCCGGTAGCCGTAATAATCCGCGTCGACGTCTCGCATGAGATCGGCACGAGTCCGTCTGGCCGGCGGCGGCGGTTCTTGCTCGAATAATTCGCGCACGCCTGTAGGTTAGATTTCAATCTTAGTCCTTAACAACAAAGTTCAAATCACAATACTGTCAAATTTCAACATAAGGCCCTCGCAACTAAGCTTTTTTACTGACAGCAAACTATATTTAATAAATAATTTCAAGGGCACAAATCCAAAGCGGCACCCATACGTCCTAATTTCATATCCGATACCTCTCGTTTGCAATAAGATGGGTGCTGTTAAAAACGATGCGATGTCGCACGCGTGCCTTGCGACCGCAAAAGACGATCCAGTACCCTGATCACTGGTTCGTCCCTTGGGTGTCGTAAAGGCGAGAATGGCAAGTATCAAAAAGATCTCATAACCTTCAATAAATGGCGGATCTCATTAACGCCGGTCCGTGAGGAGGAACAGTGACAAAGAACAGCGTTAAATATGCCAGATGTTTGACACTGCGACCGCCAATATGTTTACCAAGCGTGTCAATATGGAAATTGCTCCCTTCAACTGGAGAAACCCATGAACATTTATGTGCCAAATATCAAAAAGTCCACGGCTGAATATAGGTTACCCCATTAGACTCTGGATAGTTACCAGGCTTGGCAGGCTTGTTATCAGGAAGATGCTACTGCCCATCTCCCATTTCATTTTCCCCACCACACAGCGAGTATCGTTATCATCAGCCTGTATCTCTCTACTGCAATATTTAAAAGCTTCTCTGTAGTTAGGACGACCTTACACAATACTTGCTTCTAAGCTGGTTGGCGATCGTAGCACGAGAAAGGTGCGGTCTAAATATTGTTTGTTAAATTTATTTGCAAACTTTTACATCGTACATAAATCAAACTTCATACCCGGTAAATCTTTCGCCGCCCCGAAGTATTTGTAGCCCCTGTTACCAGGAACCTCTTTCCCATCCTGGTCGAGCATCTTGGGTCCAACACGAGCGTGATCCGGGCCGCCGAGAGCTTTAATCTGAACTTCCCAATGGCGTTTTTCACGCATCAGCTTGTTGATTTCATCGTTTAAATCACGTATCCGAAATTCGCCCAGACCGGCTGAAATATACGATTTTAAAGTTAGTTTGGAAAGTAGGTAGTATGAGGAGTATCGAAGAGTAACGACTTGAACAATTTAAGTCATATCCACAGAATATAATTAATTTGTAAAGACTATAGTTCATTGCTAAGCTAGGGCTGCCCATCTCATGGGCCAGTTTCCCTGTTTCGCCTCTCTACACCTACGGGACGATATGGGGTAATAGATATTCTTGCGCCATGCCCAATTTATTATCCCAATATTAAAATAATATAAGCACTGCTTGTTATTATAATCAATACTGTACGCTATAATAGTGTGAGAGCGGATGTTCAACTTGCTCTCCTGCTTACGTAATTAATCATTATTGGCAATAAAACAGCAAGCTGCTCGCGTCCGTAGGAATTACTTGAATTCTGATTCCCTATACGTATCCCCTGGGTAATGCCAAACGAGCAGTACTACATACTGGTGGTAGGTAGCCGGGCCTCTCACTAGTAGTCCTTTACTAGTGAGAGGCCCGGCCGAGGGTTAGTTACCACCCACCTGGCAAAGACATACCACCAAATGATGCAAATCGTGTTCCGGTATGATGTTAAGTGAAACCAATTTCTTAAGGAGAATGAATCAGGACAGTTGCGTTGCGCATATGAACCAGTTGCGACGCGGCCGTTTTTTAGTGTCAGGTGCCTGGTTATGGAGGTTAGCGGGATCCGGAGCACGGTTGCACCGCCGGCCGACCGTAGATAGTTGGAGACCCAATTAATGAGCCAGCCACTCATGAAAGGCTGCCGCGCCATCTTACGAAAAATCTTGGGATGGCTCCACCATGCCGGTTGGCGACCGGAGAGGGCCTGGTGGTGATTTCCATGGGCCTTCTGGCGTCCCCGCGATCTCCATGCTAGGTACCATGAATGCTATGACTCTGTTTGCTTCTCTAGGTTATTATGTGTGACGCATCGTCCAACTACCATTCTCTCAACCTATTCACTCCCACCATTAATGAAAAAAAAAAAGAAGAGTAAGTTTATACAGCGGTTGCACTCCCTCCCCATCAAAGTGCACCTCACAAATATCCGAGGCCTGCACTGTAATCTCAATGCAGTCCATTACCACCTTGAGACTGACAAGCCGCACTTACTCTTCTTGACTGAGACGCAGATCAGATATCCTCTAGATGCGGCGTGCCTTGGCTACCCTGGGTATACATTGGAGCATAATTTCCATCAGCGCGCCGGAGTCTGTGTTTACGTCCAACTGCTGTAAGCGTCTCCGTCACATTGAAGACCCCACTTTCTCTAAGATCTGGTTATTGATAGACACAGGAATGGATAAAATTATTTATTCTTGTGTCTACCGATCGCACAGCGATGACCAGGTGACAACTAAGCTGTTCGAACACCTCAGTGAAGCCTCTGATATGACTCTAAATCGGTACCCTAATACACAGTTGGTTTTTCTGGGGGACTTTAATGCCTGTCATCAGGACTGGCTGTTCCCATACCAGAAGACCGACCACGCTGGGAGAGAGGCGTGGAATTTTGCTTTGTCGCTGCGGCTGTCCCAGCTGGTACAACAAGCGACTAGGATACCTGATGTGGATGGGCACACAGCAAACTGTCTCGAATTTCTGCTGACAACCGATCCAGACAGGTACGATGTTTAGGTTACCTCACCCTTGGGAACTTCTGACCACTGTATGGTTAAATCTGTGTCGTTATATTCCCCACCTAACTACGATTTCCACGGTGTGCGACGAATGTGGCGATACAAGACAGCAGATTGGAATGAGATGCGGCATTTCTTTGCATCTAATCCTTGGCGGTAGGCCTGCTTCTCGTCTGAAGACCTGTCGAGCTGCGCGGATGCCATAACCAATGTGATACGTCAAGCGATGGAGTATTTCATCCCCTTTGCTAAAGCTCGCCCATGGTTTAACGCCGAGTGCGCTTGTGCTGAAAAGCACAAGCATATGGCGGACTTATCCTGGGTCGATGTTCGAGACTGTAAAGCTCCGAATGTTAGCCTTAAGAAGAGCCTGCAAAGAGCCATTACACCAAGCCAGTTTCGACCGTATTAAAGGCATCGGTACAAAACTCTCTGTCAAACCATCTGGCAGTAGCGCTTTTTTTTCACTGGCGCATGCGCCTAAAGAGAAAGCGGACTTATTTGCTTCTCTTTTTGCTTGCAATTCGCGTATGGACAGTAGCAACAGCGTACCATCTCGATTACCTCACTGCGGTACCTCTATGGCAGAGGTCCGTATTACCAACAAGGAGGTTCTTAAAACCTTGCGAAGTCTAGACGTGAACAAAGCTAGTGGAGCTGATGGTATACCAGTTATAGTTCTAATGGTCTGAGCACCTGAATTGTTTCCTGTGTTGACACGCTTGCTCCGCCTCTCATTCAGGACTGGAATAGTGCCTAAATCTTGAAGCTGGCCAATGTGGCTGTTTTTTTACGTGGTAGAGCCATGCTGCAGCTATATCGAAAGTATAGTTGTAGCACGAATGGGTCGGCGCGACTGGGGAAGGACCACGCTCTCACAGAATACCAGCGTAAAATAGCAGCTTAATGCTGCTGTGTTTCGTATGGTGAGTGTAGATGTAGAGAACCGGAGACCAATTTTAATTTATTTTAATTCATTTTAAGATAGATGTAGATGTCTATGGGCCACAGCAACCACTTACCATCAGGTGGACTGTAGGCTCGTTTGTCACCCTAATTCTATAAAAAAAATGTGCAGCCTAAAAAAGGTAGCGTACCGACCCTGCCAACTATCGGCCAATTATGGAGCGTATATTGAACGCCCACCTCATGACATGTCTATAGCAAAATGATCTCCTCAGTGATCGCCAGTACGGGTTTTGCCGAAATCGATCAACTGGGGACCTTCTAGCGTATGCCACTCATATATGTGGCGAAGCCCTCGAGAACAGTGGTGAAGCACTTGCTGTTTCCCTCGTTGTTCCGAAGGCCTTTGACAGGGTTTGGCACGCTAGTCTATTGGGCAAGCTTTCAGCGTACGGCTTATCCCCTAGCCTGATTGCCTGGGTGAAGGACTTTTTGAGTGAACGGTCTCTCCAGGTCGTCGTCGATGGCTGCTCATCCGGTACTATGGCGACTAACGCCGGTGTTCCTCTGGGGTCCGTTCTCTCCGCAACTCTCTTCCTGCTGCATATTAATGATCTGCTCATTCCCGGTGTCTATGGGTATGCAGACGACAGCACAGTTGTGGAGAGGTACCAACCAAGTGCCCGGGCCAGTCGGGATCAAATACAGTCAGAAAGAGAGGCTATGGTTGAACATGTGAGTTTCACACTACAGGCAGTCTCCGAATGGGGCGATGCCAATCTCGTTAGATTTAACGCCTCCAAAACACAAGCGTGTCTTTTCCTTGCTAAAAAGAGCCCGCTCACCTTGGCTACTACTTTCCGGAATGTATCCTTGGAGTACACTGACTGCCTTCAGTTGTTAGGGGCTGAATTTTCTTCGAACCTAAACTATGGACGGTTCATTGAGTCCAGAGCCAAAGCAACGAAACCTTGCAAGGAAACTTGGTGTCCTTGCAAGGTTGCGGCGGTACTTCACGCCGGGGCACTTCTTACCTTATATAAAGCGCAAGTCAGGTCGTACATGGAGTACTGCTGTCACTGAAAAATGCCACCTGGCAGGGTTGTACTCAGTGGAGAGACGTGCTAAGAGGCTCATTGGTGACCTTGATTTTGTTGAAACCAATCTTGTCAGCCTCAAGCACAGGCGTAGAGTAGCCAGGCTCTCGGTATTCTATAGGATGCATTTCGGTGAGTGTGCGCAGGAATTACACGCTTTAATTCCTCCCTCTCCTTTCCACCATCGGACAACCAAGTGGTCTGCGGGTCTTCATCCCTTTGTTGTCCACGCATTAGAACCAAACGGTTTGCTTCGTCTTTTGTAATGCGTACAGCAAAGGAGTGGAATGATTTGCCGGCGTCTATCTTTCCGTCCGAATACAATCTGGGCGTCTTCAAGGCAAGAGTGAATAGGCTTTTGTTACGTTAAGACAGTGCTATTTACCATCTAAGGCTGCATCACCACTTACCACCAGGTGGGATTGTGGTCAAGCACTGGCTTATAATAAGTAAAAAAAAAAAGTGTAACACAAGGGACGTAATTACATGATAACACCTAAGTATGCAAACCAACAGTAACACTATCTATTTCGTTGTAGCACAGAGCAGGCTCTCAGCAACACCATTTTCCTTGCATGTATTAAAACAATTACTATAACGAACAAAACCACGATATTGTCATTTTACGAGTCTTAGCACTTGTAGAATGACTTAGGCGGAATCTACCGCGCACGACGCCTACAGTGAACTTGCACTAACGAGTGGGGCGGGGGTTTTCCCGATATACCCTCAATTCCACATCACCACTATCGATCTGACGCTCCGCTAATGACGCAACCTCTCGCTCACTCTCGATCCAACCGGTATTTTATAGACGCACCGACAGACTCATATTAACAATTTATTAGTTAGTTACTGCCAAAAAATACATAATCTGGACATGGTGGCGCCGTGATCGATTTATTTATTTTATAAATTTTTTATTTAGTTATACACTTACACACCACACAAGAGTCATGGTAGCTCTCCCCGAGTTTTTTTTTATAGGATAAGGGTGACAAACGAGTACACAGTCCACCTGATGGTAAGTGGTTACTGTGACCCATAGACATCTACATCTATCATCAAATAAAGACTTAAGATGCAGATGCGTTGTCACCCGTGAGGATTAAGATGGAATGCCCCGTTTCCAGTAAAAAGGGTCTCCGATTCTCTACACTCACCATACGAAACACAGCAGTGTTATGCTGCTATTTTACGCTGGTATTCTGTGAGAGCGTGGTCCTTCCCCGGTCGAGCCGACCCATTCGTGCTACAACTATACTATTAATATAGATGCAGCATGGCTCTACCACGTATAAAAAACGTTACTACTAAGCACTCGGTTTCGATCCTCGGTGCCACCAACG